AACTCTGAAAACTTAAACATAGTAATTTATTAAAGGAATTCCAATAGAAGGCCTGTGTGTTGTGTACTCAGATTAAAAGAGAGAAAAATGAACTAGGATGAATTGTGATAAAAATTTTTGTTTATAGTGTTTAATATGTACAAATGTTTTAAATTTTTAAGACAAATGGAAGAAAAGTCAGTAATTTAGGCAACATGAAAGTTAATTATTGGTAAGCATTACTTATATGACTAAATATAGATCCAGTATTATTGCATTATGGGATGTCTCATGACTTCTAGATTTTTCTCAGCTTTAAACACTATTTGCTAAAGGCATTTTATACGTTTATTACATAAAATGAACAACTGCGTAACTGTCAACTACACCTAGAGTTTTTATACATACATATATATATATATATATATAAAAGACTTATGTAGACAGACTTTTGAGTCATATTCCACATACATAGATTTAACCACTATGATGTCAACATTGCCATAGTCAGCCATTTCTTCTATAACTCCATTTACATTGGATTCAAATTTTACTTCCAGCATAATCACTTTTCGTTTCTTTGCTGCACTTTAATCTTTGTTGGCCAGTTTCCTCTTTGGATTATCCATATTTATTAAATGTCTTGTGGGTTTATCATGGGCGACAAAGAGGCAGCACAACTGCACTCTTGGCTGTTGTGGTACAGTGACCAATCACCAACAGACTCTGAAAGAAGGGAGGTGATTGGTCACTGATCATATTGTTCATCTGTTGTTTACCTGGTGACTTGTGGATTGAAGAGCTGGCCGTGAAGTTTGTACTTTATGTAATTACTCAGAGTTAATATATGATAACTGAAATTTGAGCCATGTTGGGGGCTGGTGTTAATTAATTAAACCTTGATATAAACCATGGTAATTGAATTTTGAGCATATCAGAACTTTGCAAAGATTGAGCTCTGCCTGTAATGTCAAAAAACAAAACAAACAAAAAAAAAAAACAGGTTGTACTTGTATTTGGTAAAAATTGAAGGTGGGGCCGAGCATATCAGAACTTTGCAAAGATTGAGCTCTGCCTGTAATGTCAAAAAACAAAACAAACAAACAAAAAAACAGGTTGTACTTGTATTTGGTAAAAATTGAAGGTGGGGCCGACCCCGTGGCTCACTCGGGAGAGTGCCGCGCTGGTAGCGCCGAGGCCGCGGGTTCGGATCCTATATAGGGATGGCCGGTGTGCTCACTGGCTGAGCGTGGTGTGGACGACACCAGGCCAAGGGTTGCGATCCCCTTACCGGTCAAAGAAAAAAAGAAAAAAAATTGCGAAGGTGGTAATGGGACTGACACTGAGAAATTTATACAATAACAGTGGTCTTTCAAAAATAACTTTGTTCTTTAAAATTCCTTAATCTTTTTTTTTTTTTTTTTAAGAGACGTTTCTTAAGGGGTGTGTCTGTATGCACCAAGCCAGTGGGTAAAGGTCTGAAAGGAAAAGTTTTAGCTTGTTCCTGTGATCTTATTTTTCTACATTGAATATTCATGTGATTAAAACCTTCATTTTTGTGACCTGAATAATTCTTTCTGGCCTATGGTTAGGTTCCTCTTACAAATCATCCTCTGTAGATAGCTGTGACTTGCTTTTTTATTACTGCAGCAGAAGAGATAGTGATGTTGTAGGTGGAATCTGCGTTTATTTTTCACAGATAAATGGACCATGAGGAGGGGTAAAAAGGGTTACAGAAGTGATTAAAGGACTGGCTTTTTTTTTTTTTTTTTTTAATGTGCAAATCGTACAACTGGGGGGGCGGGGATAACTCCCAAAATATGTTTATTGCAAACATTTAGAGCATATTGAAGAATATAAAGAAAATTTTAAAATCTCTTCCAGTTCCGTCATTCGGATATAAACTCCGTTAATATTTTGGTGTATATCCATTCATGCTTTTCTTTTTCATACATGCACACATATTTTTGCAGTTTTACATAAAATATATTAAATTGGGATTATGTTGTATATGCTTCCCTTAAGTGGATTTCCAGGATACACAAACATTTTTAAAGCTTTTTCTTACGTAAAATTTAAAATATACAAAAAGAGAGGATAGAGACTAGATTAGTACAGTGAACTTAATGTATCCATCACTGGACTTCAGTGATATCAGTATCCTGGGCAATCCTGTTTCATCCATACTCATCTACTTTTGCATTATTTTGAAGCCAATTCTAGATAAATATTTCAGCACACGTAATTAACAATTTTATGTTTTGCCAAACTGCTTTTCAGAAAAAAGTTAATTAATGTATATTTGACAGAGATAAGATTTTTAAAACCCCTTTTAGTGTTATGTTAGATACATATCATTTTCCTCAGGTAATACAAAAAAATCAAAGTGAATTTGGTTGTGCTTATACTTTAGCAGCAAAATTTTAGTTTCCTCATCAGTATATCTCTCAAGGGGATGCTGTGACTATTTAGAGTGACCATATAATTTATTGTCCAAACTGAGATACTTGAGATTGAGAGGAGTCATTATTAATAGTAATGACAGTATAATGGGCACTAACCAGGACTATATTTTGGCACAGCTGGACTGTATATTCATCTTACTATTAAATAATGCACATAAGGTGTATATACAAAAAGCACCTATATCACATAGTCGGGTAGCTTTTATTAAATCTAAGTGTGCATGCCTGTGTCTGGACATGTATTAAAGTCTTCCCTTTGAAAGAAGTGTTTTGAATTGGCAACTCAGAAAGTCGTAAGTTGGGCCGGCCCAGTGGTGCACTGGATAGTGCGCCGCTTGGGAAGCGCGGCGGCGCTCCCGCCCGAGGGTTCGGATCCCACATAGGGACTGGTTCCCGCTCACTGGCTGAGCGAGGCGCGGGAAGCAACACCGAGGGTTGCGATTCCGTTGCCGGTCCCCGGTCCGGTACGGGGGCAACACTGAGGGTTGCGATCCGTTGCCGGACACGGAAAAAGACAAAAGACAAAAAAAAAAAAAAAAAAAAGAAAGTCGTAAGTTAACAGTTTTCATTTCTATGTGTTTTCGGAGCTGACAGTAATCTGTTTTTTGTTTCTTTTTTTAAGTAGATCTAATTTTTTTAAATTGTAAACTTTATTTTAATTTTTGGCTACAAAAGTCTTAACACATTTAAAAAGACTAAGATCATAGAAAATATGTTATCACAATAACAGAATAAAATTCAGAAAATTCACAAATGTGTGGAAATTAAACAATACTCTCCTAAATAAACAATAGGTTAAAAGAAAAGTAACAGGGAAATTAGAGAGTACTTTGAGATAAAAATCAAAGTGTAACATATCATGAGCCTGCAAGTGCCTAGAGGAAAATTTATACTTGTGAACACCTACATTAAAAATAAGAAAAATTTGGGCTGGCCAAGGGTTACAATCCCCTTGGCCAAAAGAGAACACCAAGCCAAGGGTTACAATCCCCTTACCGGTCAAAAAAAAAGAAAAATCTCAAATCAGTTATGCAAAGTAATACCTTAAGAAAAATAGAAAAAGAACAAACTAAACCAAAAGCAAATATAAATAGGACATAAGATAACAACAGAAATATATGAAATAGAGAATTAAAAACCAAAAGTTGTATCTTCAAAAAAAAAATCAGTAAAATTCACACACCTTTATATAAACTGACAAGAAAAAAGAGGACAGAAATTACTAAAATCAGAAATAAAGCAGAAGCATTATTACATTGTCATTATGGTTTTTTGAGGTGGTGAGATTTAGTTCTTTAGTGTTTTGAATGTATCATCCCCTTCTCTTCTGGCCTGTAGAGTTTCTTTTGAGAAACTGTTAGTCTGATAGGGGTTCCATTATAGGTACTTGATGCTTTTCTTTTAAGATTCTCTCTTTGTCTTTGAGCTTTACCAGTTTAATTAACTATAATATGTCTTGAAAAGGATATTTCTGGGTTGAATCTGTTTGGGGATCTTTGAACCTCCTGGAACTGAAGGTCCATGTCTCTCCCTACACTTGGGAAGTTTTTTATTATTATTTTGTCGAATAGGTTTTTCCATGCCTTTTCCTTTCTCCTCCCCTTCTGGAATATCCATAATTTGAATGTTTTTATGCTTAAGGTTGTCTGTTAGCTCTCTTAGATTTTCTTCATTTAAAAATTCTTTTCATTTTTATTGTTCACCTGGATTATTTCAAAAAGACTGTCTTCAGGATCAGAAATTATTTCTTCTGCTTGCTCTAGCCTGCTGCTTCAGCTATCAGTTGTGTTTTTTTATTTTGTTGAGTGAATCTTTCAGTTCCTTGAGTTCTGCTATATTCTTTTTTAAGGTATTAATCTCTTTGTAAATTTCCTCCTTTGTATCCTGGATCTTTTTTTCTCATTTCATTATGTTGTCTGAATCTTCTTATATCTCTCAGTAATTTTCTTTAAGATTGTTGCTTGGAATTCTTTTTTAGTCATTTCAAGGGTTTCCTGCTTTGTAGGGTCTGGTGTTTGATAATTACTGTATTCTTTTGGTGGTGTCATGTTTTCTTGGGTTTTTATATTTCTAGTATCGCTGTGTTGATGTCTGGTCATCTGGTAGAGCAGTTGCTTTTTCTGTTGTTCTAGAGTGGGCTTTGAGGAGAGAGACAGCCTCTTCTCTTTTCATTCTTCTCTGGAGACTCACCTTGTGTCAGTACAGTAGAGTGGTGGGCCTCCTCTGGATGGTGGGTGGGGCTACTGCTGTGGTGTGAAGCTGCTTTTGCAACAGCCATGGCTGTGGTGGGCCACTTGGATGGAAGCAGTGTTTTTGGCATGGTCTCTTGCCTGCTTCTGGGCAGAGGGGGCTACCCTCAGCTCTGGCTTAGGACTCTGGGCCTACTCTCTTGCTTGTTTCCAGGTGGAACAGGCTGTCTTTGGCTCCTGCCCAGGACCCCGGGTATGTTCTCTTGCCTGTTTTTGGGTGGAGAGGGCTGCCCTTGGCTCCTCAGTAGCCCTAATTTTAATAATTAAGAATATGTTTTTGAAATAATATTTGTATTAATCTTTGCAGCTAGAGAATGCTGGAGGAGACCTTAAGGATGGCTGCCACCATGAAGGAGCCGTTGTCATTCTGGATGCTGGTGCTCAGTACGGGAAAGTCATAGACCGAAGAGTGAGGGAACTATTCGTGCAGTCTGAAATCTTCCCCTTGGAAACACCAGCATTTGCCATAAAAGAACAAGGATTCCGGTAGACTTTTCGCTAGTATTTTTAAGAGGAGATTGGGCTTAGATTGCGGAATATTTTATTATTAATTTACTTGGACGCTGAATTTTTTTGTGAAAATAAGATATGAATGGAATGGTTTCACAAGACATTCCCAAGGCTTTGATTGTGGAAGGGGGGAATTTAAGTTTCAGTTAAAATGTTAATCTTAATTTTAATTTCACAGTTAAAAGAACTTATTATTTGAACATTTTATGTTTCTTTGGATTTGTGGGTCAGAGTTAGATGTAGCTATTATGGTAATTTATTTATTCATCCTAAATCATTCAATCAGAGGAAAATACATAGGAAGATGGATGGAATACTCCCAAGAGAAGAAATATGTGTACTATAAGTCTCTTTTGCTTCCTGTCTCAAGAGACTAGTTTCTAAAGTATGAAAAAGATTTCTTAAGTCTAATATAAGCGCTGATTCCAATAACTTGTAACCTTAAAACTAGTCAAAACAACAGCCAACATGTATACAATTTCTTCCTTCAACAGCTAATTCTGTTTAATGCTATGCTTTTTCTCATGGAATTAATGTTCTATTAAGAGTTTTATCCAGAAGCAAAGCACCTTCAGTTTATGGCTTCGATTGGCTCTTGAATCTTAATATTAGACAAGCTATATATACTTCTCCCAAAATGTTTTATTTTTCTTAACCATTTTCTCATTGGAAAAAAAATGCTTTTAAAAGAACTTTTAAAGACAGCATAGACGTGTACATTATCCTGTGATTTCTTGATTCTGAGGTAGAGTGAATTGGAAATTAGAAAAGGTAGGTTTAAGTTGACCTCTGTTGTAATCTTAGGATACAAATTAAAAACAGCTGTAAACTAGAATTTGTACAGTTAAAAACTGTAGAATTTTAGAGTAAGAAAGAGTTCTTGAGTTTGTCTAATTCAGCTGTCTTGATTTATCAGCAAAAACTAGTTTTAAAGGGGATCAAAAAACTGTGGTATCTGAATAGCTCTCTGTCAAATCCAAGTTCCACCATTCCCCTCACCCAAAACAACCTCCTCAAACTAACCCAGACTAAATGTTTTAGAATAGAGTAGTCAGATTCTTGGCAATAGAATCTAATTGTGTTTCCTGTCACTTGATCATAATAAACACTTGCTAGGTCTAGCTTGTGCCTAGTACTTCTTTTCTGTAGTAGGGGAATAGAAACTGTGGCACTATAGCTTTTATTACTGTAATTTTTTCTGCTGAAATATCTATTTGACCATCCATTTTTTAGAATAAATGTTTTGTGACATGAGAGACATCTTAATGCACCTGTTTTATAACCTTTACCTGCCTGATACATAAAATTGGTATTTGGAATGACTTATGGCTTATTGGGCCTTGTGATTGCAAGTTAGTTTCAAAATAATGGGATAGAAATAGAAGACTCAGAGTGATTAGCTCTTCTCAAGGTTGATTGAGATAGGACTTTTCATAATTGGTTTAAGTACTACTTGAGTTTTATCCTTGACTAAGTCCATTATATGTATGTTTTAATAGCACTAAGAATCTTATAACCTCAAGTTGTTTAGCAGATTAGTAAGGGAAGCTGGGCAGTCAGTCCCGTGGTGGTTATTCTTTATGAAACTAAATATAACATACTGAGATTCTATAGGCCTTGATTATTAAGTATGTCTTATAGAATTTTAGCTTCTGTATTTTTAAGGAGCTGGGTTACAGTTCTGCCCTTAGGGCTAACCCCACACCTCTTTAGAATCATTATTGTAAAGATGTCACATTTATCTTTTGAGTAGGTTGTCTTCCATCTCTCTTTTGCTGGAGATAGGCAAACAGACATTGAATACCATGTCTCATGTTACCCATACAAAGTTCAAATGGTGCTTTTGAGCTCACTAAAATTATTGATTTTTTTTTTTAAATTCCCTAACTTGCTGAGTGGTTTTTGTGAATTTGACTTTTGTTTCATTATTCTTCTGGACATATTATAAGCCTAGCAATATATTTTATATATATTTTTACATGGCAGGCAGCCACTAATTAAAAAGTAAATTGTAACATAAATTTATTTTGTAAGTACATTTTAGTTAGGTATTGGAAAGTATTTTGCTTTGAAATATAAAACAGATTTATCTGCAGTTTCAAACTTAAAATGAGTTTGAGGGTACCTTAAACTGAGTAAAGGGCATAAGTATGCCTTATTGTGTGAGTGAGCATGTTAAGCAAACTGGAGAACATGTGCAGTCTGAAGGTACAAGCCTCTCTCTGTAGCCATGTGGGAGTGAGTGCCCAGTGCTGCCAAGTTTTTTTCTTTTTTCTTCAAGAAAATACAGAAGTCTGAATTTTTATGTGAAATTCCTAAATTAAAATGTTTTAAGTTTTTTTCAGTGAATGCTGAGGGCCAAATTAGTTGTGTCAGTGGCCAGGTGAACAACATAGTTTGTAGTTCCCCTTTATATAATAGTAGTTCAAGTCCCAGGTTAACCCATGGAATGCTCTGCAAACTGTAATGTAGCTCAATTACAGTACTGGCCTGAGTTCTGAGAGCAAGGCATCTGGGGCAAAATTGGTGTTTGATTGCTCTCTTGAATCTCAGGGAAAATTGTTGGGGATGTTGGGCGGGTTTTGAACAGGGAAAGTTAGGTAATCCATATTTCATATTCTGCAGGTCTTGTTGTAGAGTAGTTTGCTCTGAGCCATCCAGAGTCTTTATAATATTGTCAATTCTTTTGTGAACTGATAGGCTCTCAGAAGACATGTTTTCTCCAACTCCCTTCAGAATTCTCATTTACTTCCTCCACTGATGAAACAATCAAACAAATTCATGCTTTACAGATAAAAACATTGGTATTTTTATATTCGGAAATTTGTGCTTATTAACAAGTGAATGCTGAATTGATAGACTTATAAACATCGCAATAAAGTATAGTAAAAATAATTAAGCTGTGTAGGACAACATTCATTAGCTGTAATATAATCTGGATCTGCTACAATGTACCAAAAACATAAAATCTCAATCTGTATTGTCTTTCTCAGGGTACAAGGGAGAGAGAGCATAGGCTTTGTGTAAAAATTAGCAGTTAGAGATTCTTCACTGACTCTCTTCCTTTAATCCACAGTGCTATTATCATCTCTGGAGGGCCCAATTCTGTGTATGCAGAAGATGCTCCCTGGTTTGATCCAGCAATATTCACTATTGGCAAGCCTGTTCTTGGAATTTGCTACGGCATGCAGGTACTTCCATAAATTTGCTTTGAGAGTTTACTTATATTTTATTCTGTTTGTTACTCATACTGTATTAGTATTTTCTCTCTTTAGGATATTTAGGATACTTAGTTGGATGAGAGAATTTGTGCATATTACAACTGAGTATGAATTGCTACACAAAAATGGCAGAACTGACGTGATAGGGGAATCTATTTTCTGAAAAGAAACTGTAGTACTTCATGTAACAGAACACTCCATTTTTAAAAAAATTATGCAAATTTACATAAAAGCTGCAGAAGTAGTACACAGAGCACCTGTATATTTTTATCCAATTCTTCATTTGCTGACATTTTTGAACCATTTGAGAGTAAGTTGCATATGTAATGCCTTGTATTTCCTGAGGACTAGGACACTTTTCTGCATAACCACAGTACAACTGTGAAAGTCAGGAAGTTAACTGATTTAGTTTTAACATCTTATCCACAAACTCCATTCACATTTCAGAGTTTGTCTCATTAATGTTCCTGATAGGTCATGGATCCAATCTAGGACCATATGCTGTATTAAGTTGTCATATCTCTTTAGATTCCTTCAGTCTGAAACAGTTCCTTGGTCTTTCCTTCTCTTTTTTGACCTTGACAGTTTTTGTAAAAAGTACATGCCAGTTACTTTGTAGACTGTCTTTCAATTTTGGTTTATCTGATGTTTCCTCATTGTTAGGTTCAGGTTATGCGTTTTTGGCAGTGCCAACAGAAGTGATGCTGTGTTCTTTTAGGGGCTTCTCATCAGGAGTCACACAATGTTGATTCGTGCCGTGATTGGTGATGTTAACTTTGATCATTTGGTTAAGATAGTGTCTGTCAGGTGTCTCCACTGTAATGTTAGTTAATAAATATATGTACCTTGGTAGTGAATCAAAAGCAAGAATAAATAGGGACGTGTTAGGTCTTCAGAGACTCTTCTAAGAGTTAACGTTCATAAATCTATTTTGGCTGCTTTGATACCTTTTTTGTTTTACTTTTTCTATTTTATTTTAAAGACTTAATTTTTTTAGAGCAGTTTTAGGTTCACAGGAAAGTTGAGAGGAAGAAACATATCACACAGACTCCCAGCCCCGACACGTGCATAGCCTTTCCTATTACTGACATCCCACACCAAAGTGGTACCTATGTTACAGTCAGTGAAACTATATTGACACATCATTATCACCCAGAGTCCATAGTTTACATTAGGGTTCACACCTGGTGTTGTTCATTCTATGCATTTGGACAAATGTATAATGACATGAATCCACCATTTACATAGTATCATACATAGTATCTTCACTGCCCTAAAAATCTTCTGTACTCAGCCTGTGTATCCTTTCCTCCTCCCAACCCCTGGCAACTGATGATCTTTTTTACTGTCTCCATATAGTTGGAATCATGAAATATGTAGCCTTTCATACTGGCTTCTTTCACTTAGTAATATGCATTTAAGTTCCTCCATGTCTTTTCATGGTTTCATAGCTCATTTCTTTTTAACACTGAAAAATATTCCATTGTAGGTATGTCCCACAGTTTATTCATTCATTTACTAAAGGACATTTTGGTTGCTTCTTTGTTTTGACAGTTATGAATAAAGTTGCTCTAAACATTTGTATGTAGGTTTTTGTGTGGACATAAGATTTCAAGGTATGTCCCACAGTTTATTCATTCATTTACTAAAGGACATTTTGGTTGCTTCTTTGTTTTGGCAGTTATGAATAAAGTTGCTCTAAACATTTGTATGTAGGTTTTTGTGTGGACATAAGATTTCAGCTCCTTTGGATAAATTCTAAAGAGAGCGATCACTGGATCATGTGAAAAGAGTATGTTTAGTTTTGTAAGAAACTGTCTCATTTTCTCCCGAAGTGGCTGTACCATTTTTCATTCCCACCGGCAGTGAATGAGAGAGTTCTTGTTGCTCCACATCCTCACAAGCGTTTGGTGGTGTCAGTGTTCTGGATTTTGGCCATTCTAGCTAACTTTAAGTTTAAGTAGTATAGGTTCAACAGATAAGTAGAATGTCATTATTGAATAAGATGATGGAAGGATAATACTGAGCTAATAACATGCTAAATTCTCACTTATTCAAAGAATGGTGTAATTCAGTAAGATCTATTTACTAAGGAGGTAGGAATATAAATAGATACATTTAAGAAAACATAAGATGATGGAAGGATAATACTGAGCTAATAACATGCTAAATTCTCACTTATTCAAAGAATGATGTAATTCAGTAAGATCTATTTACTAAGGAGGTAGGAATATAAATAGATACATTTAAGAAAACATCTGGTGGTTGTAAGCAAAATGATTACAGAATTGAGATAATTTTTAACAATGTTTTTTATTTAACTAGATCATCTGAAAATTGAATTAGCTAGGAAACGATTCCTGAATAATAATATATTAGTTAATAGGTTATGGTATTTTGCCTTTTCTAGTGTCAGAAGCAAAGTACTTTTGTTGTTGTTGTTTTTAACAAAATTTTCTGTTATGGTAAGAACAGCCAAACAGATATAGATGTCTATGGATTAATTTGTTCAGTTTGTGAATTGTCTTTAGCTCTTTTCCCTTTTGCTGCCTTTTGGCATTAGTACATACTAAAGTGAAAGGGAAGGAATAGAATAGAAGTGGAATTAATCTAATTGTGAGACCCTAATAGACCAAAATGGAATTGTTGTTAATTAAAGGATCAAGTTTTTAATTTTCTTATGATATTCTGATTCTCCCTAATTGATTGAGAATTACCTGTTAATTTTCAGTTTTTTGCATGTATGGTTTAATAAAGATGTATTTATTTCTCCCAGTGACTCAGGTGAGTCCTTGGATTGAAGATAATTTGAAATTTTAGTAATTGGGCAAAATAGAGGGTGTGTGTGTGTGTTTTAATCATCTGATTGAAATTGTTGTGCTTTAATATGAATATTGCACAAAGGGAAGCTGTTTAAAAAGTAGAAAGTGACCAGATTGATACATTTTCTTTTAGCCAGCTCTGGAGCTTTCAGTGAAGGAAGAAAATATAAATCAGTGTTCACATGAGAATGTTGAATGTTTATATTATTTCTATTCTTGATATAAGAGCAGAATGTTAGAAAGAAGCTGATCAGTTAAATAACTGTACCAGATTTGGTTTCTTCTGATTGTTTATTATAGTTTTCTGCTTTGATTTAGAGGAAATACAGGTCACTAAGAATATGTGAAGTACAAAATCTACAAGATATTTTCTTCTGCAGGCAGCAAGAATTTTATAGTGAAAGGCTCTTTTTCCCCTTTCAGTGTTCTCTGAGAAGCCTAAATGGTGACTATGAATTTGACTTAGAAAGGATTTTTCCATCTTGTAGTCATAGAAGAGCCTATATTCTAATGGAGTTGAATATTGGAAATTGGCTGTCTTTGTCTTAAATGTACCTTTGTCTCATGATGTAATATATTTACATAATTTATTGATCTCCCTTGCCAGAGTAGTCAACGTTAATCATAGAGCACAACCTACAGTTAAGTGGTTGCTAGTATATTGAAAGGCATTATAACATTCCATAAGGAAGAGTCTCACAAGATATATTTTTAGAACCTACTTACAGTGAAATAGATCTGAAAAATGCTCCTTTAATTTAAGAAACAGAGGCTTAGTATTTCCTCAGTGTGTCAGATCCCAATATAATTATAAGGCCACATTTTTCTTTCAGTTACTGAGGGTATCTAATGATAGCCAGAGCCAAGCCTACTGATGTTAAATGCATAAAAAATTTTTGTCTTTATTATCATCTGAACTTTTATGAACTTTTAAAGTAGGCTAACAATAAGTTGACCTTAGTCCTTTGGGCAGAAATTGTCCTTTCATAAAATATTTATGTAGGTGATGCCATCTAGTTAATCTGCTGTGTGTAAAGGACTGCACTTTTTAGTGATTATGTTGGGTAATTTTAGCACCAAAGTGTATACCTTTGCCTCCCATGACATTCTGAAATTTTAGTAATTTCAATGTCTTGTGTACCATCTTTTCTCATTAATTGGGCTCTCCTGTCAGAGTCTCTCTGATTGCTTCCTGGTAATGCTTTGCCTTAGAAGAAAACATCTGTCCTGCCCCTTGCTCCCTTTCTGTTACTAACTTACGCCCCACCCACTGTAACAAAATAGAATATTGGTAGAACTTTTGAAACTCCCTTTATACCTTTCCCCGTTCATTTTCCTCTCTCTTCCTATCAGAGGTAACCATTTCTCCTAAATTTTATTTTTTACTCCCTTTCTTTTTAGCTTTATGTATGTGTTAATATCCCTAAATAATATATTATTTAGTTTTGCCCATTGACCTTTATATAAATGAAATTATACTGCCTGTATTATTTTCAGCTTTGGTTTTGAGATTTATGTATGTTAATACATTTAATTGAGAGTTATTTATTTTCGCTATTGAATTTGTTGTTTGAATATTGCACAAGTTATTTCTACATTCTAATGTTGGTGTTGCTAGTCTTTTTCCAGTTTTTTGCTATTACAGACAATACGGCTATGAATACTTTTGTAATTGACTTTTGGCGTTGTACATATACAAAATTTCTCAAGGGTTACCTGGAATAGAATGCTGGATCATTATGTGCATTTTCAGCTTCACTAAGTAATGATATTTTTTCCCTCAATTTACATTCCAACAGCAGTGTATAAAAATATCTTGTGCTTTATATCCCTGCCACCCCTTGACATGGTCAGATTTTGTGTGTGTGTGTGTGTGTGTGTGTGTGTGTGTATACACTGTGTATATATATTATTTGCTAATATATATTGTGTGTGTATATATATATATATGTATATATATACACATACACACACACATATTTGTATATCTGGGGAGATATTAGATGGGATCGTATTTTAGTCTGTGTGGCAACGGCTAATGTCAGAATCCTGTTATCATTACCAGTTGTAGCACTCTTAATCCTGTTCATGATGCCAATTGTAAAGCGAAGCGACCACGCCAGTTGTCAGGTTCTTTTACCTGCCAGTAATCCTGCATCGACTGGGCCAATTGCTAAGGCTGGGTCTGGAGCCCACAGACCCCTCAAGCACATTCACAGACAGGGTCAGAAACCCTTTATATGCCAGGCTGGGTCCCCAGGCCCCTCACACGCCAGACTGGGTCACCAGACCCCTTCACGCAGGTCTGTGAGCTAGGTAACTGGCCAAAAGGTCCTTGGAGCCATAGGTTGGAAAGCATGGCTGCGTGGGCAGATGCCTGCCTGCTTCACTAAAACTCCTCTCTCTCTCTCTCTCTCTCTCTCTCTCTCTCTCTCTCTCTGAAGAACACAAGAATAGCAGCAAGACTAAAAAGATACATTGGCTCACATGCGCATAAACTCTACACAGGCACTCAATTTACTTACAAAGGATGTGCTAAAACCACACCCAGCTGGACCCTAGGCGGGGGTCCTGACCAAACTATTCTATTTTCCCAACATAGTCTTAATGTTCATTTTCCTTATTGTTGTAAGATTTGTATGGGTTTTTTTTTGCCATTTGTATCTGCTTTACTCTAAAAGCTTGTTCATGATTTTTGCCCATTTTTCTATTGATTCATCTTTTTTATTGTGTTGTTAGAATTCTTAATATTTGCTGGATTCTAAACTTTTGCCAGTTACATATATTACAGGTTCCATTCTAGATTGTGGCTTGTCTCTTCACTCTTTATAATTTCACTTGGCTTCTTTACATATTCCCACAAAGTTTTGTCAAGTTATTTTTATTGGCAGAATTTTCTTCCCTTTCACCCTTCCCAGTCTAAACTTATTGTAAAATTTGAGACAGATAAAAGAAGAGCTGATTTGTTTGGGTGATAGAACTGGAGTACTATATGGGTTTCTTTGAGGCAGTTAGGATCTTGGTGTTATCAGGAATACATACTGAAAACCATTTCCTGAAGTCAAGGTAGAATATTAAAATAAAAATTTAACAAGAAAGTAAATTGTTTTATACATAGTTATCCCCTTCTTCCCCAAATACACTCTTAGCTGATTGCTGAACACCTTGTACCTTCAACCTTAAGTAACTTTAAGTGTCTTCCAAGCAGGTGAGATAGCTTTAAATTTTACCATAAGCCCTTCAGACTCTTAAATCCTGTAGAGTTCCAACAGCTTTGGTTATCTTGATCTTTCATCTGTCTTTGAATTATGAATTGCAAATTAGGGAATGCAGAGTACACAGGTTCTTTGAGAAGAAAGAAGAAAGCATTTATTTTTCATTCAACAAATTTGAATAGCTGCTCTGGGCCACATGCTTTGCTAGGCACCTAGGGCTATAAAGAGATGTGCAGACATAGGGGAGAGAACATGGTCTGTTTTGACAGTTACACTAGTTTGAATGGCTGGAGTGGGGAATGAGGGGAAGACGACTGGTGAGACCAAAAATTAGACAAGGACCATGTAATGAAAAGTCTTGTGTTTGATAGAAGGGAGTTGGATTTTATCTTGTATACCAGTGGTTGGCAAACTACAGCCTGTAGGCCAAATCTGGCTCATTGCCTGTTTTTGTATCTGCATGCAGAGAATGATTTTTACATTTTTAAGTGGCTGGGGAAAAAACCTTTTTAAAGGGTTATATTTTGTGACATACACACACAAAAAAAGAAAATGAAATGAAATTCAAATTTCAGTGTCCATAAATAAAGTTTTCTTGGAACACAGTCACATTTGTGCTTTTAAGTTCTATCTGTGACTGCTTTTGGGTCATGATGACAAGAGTTGAGTAGTTGCTACAGACACAGTAGGGCCTGCAAAGGCTAAAATATTTACTCTCTGGCCTTTAGCAATAGTTTATCAACGCCTGCTGTAGATGCTAGAGAGCCAATGAAGAGAACTAACACAATCATATTTACATTTTAGTAGCTATCTTTGATAGATCTCAAAAATATAGACTGGAAGATGGGCAAGACTAGAGGCAAGGGGACTGATTAGATAGACTGCAACAGTGTTTCCTAAATTCCATGTTAGTTAATGTGCTTCAAAAAAAGTTTTATATCTGAGTCTGCAGTTTGGGAAATATTGTATTACACAAAGATTAACAAGTTTTTTTTTTTTTTAATGCTGGACTTAACCCAAACCTTTATTTGCTAATGGTTTTGAAGAATATGTTACTGAATTATAAGAATGAACAGTTATTTAGCCCTCTGCCTGTTTTTCTGTCAGGGTTTGCATCATACATTGTTATGGCAGATGTCTTATGACACCTGTTATGGAACAAACATACTAAGATGAGTATTATATTAATGCAGATTTAATGTCTACAAAAATCTTGTGTGTATTTATCTGATGTGGGAGGATTTGGGGCATATGTAAATGAAAAATTAAGTAAAGAGGATTGATTAACAAAGTATACCAGCATATGGGATTTGAACAGATAAGTTTAATCCATATTTTCTTGTTTATCCCATCTCTACAGCACAGCCTTCTGCATGCTTTCAGACTGTTCCTTTGAGGGTATAAATAGCTTGGAGGAATTTTTTTACCTGTCTAGATTCTTGTTTTGGTACCACAGTTGTTCTGCTCTAGAGCTGTCTGCTCTAACTTTTTCTAAGCTCAACCCAAAGTACCTTTTAAATGCTTTTAAATTAAACTTGGACATAAGTATTAATCTCATTTTTAACAGATGAATTAATTAAGTAAACTAAATGGAAAGTTTGCCAGTGTTTAACAGAAATTAACCTTAGATCAAATTTCTAATCTAATTTTGTTTTATAATCATACCTCTTAATAACTGTGTAATTATACATATTTGATACCAAGTTATTTACATTTATTAATTGATTTAAGTAAATTTAAATTATTATTTTGGGGGTATAAACATAATCGGTTTTCTAAAAATAAGTAATATGAATTATTAAACTAGCATAACAAAATGACTAGGTATTTTTGTTTTTGTTTATATTAACATCAATTTATTTTCTCTTTGAACAGATGATGAATAAGGTATTTGGAGGTACTGTACACAAAAAAAGTGTTAGAGAAGATGGAGTCTTCAGCATTAGTGTGGATAATACATGCTCTTTATTCAGGTATTAAATTTTTAGATGAATAAGAACTGTAGTAGATTGAAGTTGGTACTGTTATTTTTCAAAATTGGAAGTTTTATAATTCATAAACAAGATTAGCGCCATAGTAGTGGCCACAGGTGTAATGATCATATTTGCCTTCCAGATGAGAATCAAGACAGCAGAAGATGGTGGTGATGCTAATTAGGAATAAGGAAGGCATTAAGGAAATAACTTGAAAGCACCTGTGCAGTCTTGGAACCCTATTTAGAATTGCCTATTATGCCAACATTTGTAGTTTTCCTTTTTCGCTCTTTGGAGTATAATTGTATACATTAGTGTGCCAGGTGTGGCACATAGATGTCTTAAATTGTCATGTGTCTACTATGTGCATGTACATGCCTCTTTCACCACCACTTTCTTGCTAGGAAGTTAGCAGGCCATCCGTTTGCTGGACTCATTACTAAAGATGTGTTCCTCCTCACTTCTCTACACTGAGGCAGAACTGTGCCTTAGCATACGGTCTTTTTAATACAGTCAATATGTTATTTGATTTTGTTGTAGGTGATAAAAATGCTGTAGCTCTAATCTGTTTAAAAATTGACGATAAGCTATTCACTAACTTCCTAGAATCATTGATCTTCTGCTTTGCTTAAAGAAAAAAAAAATCTCCAGAGTTTTCATTATGTGTTCTGAAAGACCAGAAAACTAATGTTTTAGTCACTTGATCTCTCTTTGGGACTTTTCCATGCTTTGTGTAAAGCCCATTTGGTGGACTATTAGTAGTGTTCTTCACTTTTTTTTTTTTTGACCTACATTTCAGTTTTATTTTAGAACGACATTTCCCTTTTACTGTATTAAATCTGTAAAATGCAGTTAGTGAGCATGTGAAGTTACTTTTTAATATCATTTCTTCATTTCTTTTAACTGTGCTGATTTTTATAGGTTTATTTTGTTTATTAATGTATATTCTTAAAGGCTACATTGTCTTGTGCCGAAATTAATTCTTAATGAATAGTTTGTTCCAAATTGGACAGATCAGAAATTTTAAAATTCAAGTCATGAACTTATTTTTATCTGAAATAGAGATATAATCCTAGCTTTACACAAAACTGTCAGTGGCTGACTCTTTATAGTAATGAGGAAGGGCAAAAATAAATAGGTCTGTTTTCAAAGATTCCTGTTTTTCAAAGGAAGATTAATAATGCCAAGGTTGCTCTTGCCAAAATGTGTTTGGAATCCAGTGCTTGCTCTGCTTTGTAATGGAGAGGCGTTGCTACTTACATTCACCCTTATTTCAAGTGACTAGTCTTGAGAACTGCTTCAGGGGTCTTGTTTGTGATACAAGAGGCATTAAACAGAAAGATATGGTTAAGATTTAACATTTTTCTTTCTGTCTTATCTAGTTTTGAAATACTGGGAGTCCGTCATATCCTACACTATTCCTTTTTTTTTTTTTTTACAGACAACCGGTAAGGGGATCTTAACCCTTGACTTGGTGTTGTCAGCACCATGCTCTCCCAAGTGAGCTAAATGGCCATTCCTATATAGGGATCCGAACCTATGGCCTTGGTGTTATCAGCACCACAGTCTCCCAAGTGAGCCACGGGCTGGCCTTCCTACACTATTCCTTTTTTTTTTTTTTTACAGACAACCGGTAAGGGGATCTTAACCCTTGACTTGGTGTTGTCAGCACCATGCTCTCCCAAGTGAGCTAAATGGCCATTCCTATATAGGGATCCGAACCCATGGCCTTGGTGTTATCAGCACCACAGTCTCCCAAGTGAGCCACGGGCTGGCCTTCCTACACTATTCCTAAACAACAACAAAACCCCAAAACACCTTTTTGTCATTAATGTACTTTACCTTCTTGCTTTATTTTTAATTTACGTTTTTAGGTCTTAATATTATTTAATGTCCTCATTCAGATTTTTCCCTTAATGTAAACAGTATCTTTCTATGGTTGTAGTGTTTGAATCATGGTCCAGAGAAAGTCCACACATAACGTTTGATTAATGTTACTTAAGTCTCTTTTAACCTATAATACCTCTCCCTTCTCTTCCCCTTTCTAATTAAATGTCATTAATTTGTTTGGCACTAGAAGTCCACATTGCTACTGAGTTGTCATCATTTCTAGGACTTTTCAGTTAACAGAGTTAGATAATATGTATTCTTTTAGAAAGAGAAAACAAAATGTCTATTGTATACCGTTATTTCCAATTAAAATGAAAGATTATAGGTTTTTGATGTAACTGTTTTGATTTCGTATCTCCTTACTTTTAAGCTGAAAAACTACTAATTACACTGATTTTTATTTGTTTTAACCTACAGTACACATACTACATATCTGTACTATAATATAGCTGCAGAATAATATCAGTATTAGTACTATTACTACTGACATAAGACTACCAACTGAAGCGTTACAGTCTTTGAAATATCTCTGTTCTTAAGATAAATCCCAATAGAAATATAATGTTGACATTATTGTTTCATAATCTTGAAATTATTCTTTTTGTGTGTGTGGTTATACTACCAATTTCATATATTTATTTATTTGAGTTTTCAACTTTTACAAATTGCCTTTTTTTAAATTTTATTTTGCAGGGTGGCAGGGGCGGATGGCTGGTAGAGGGATTGAACCTTGGACCTTGGTGTTTTGATATCAGCACCACACTCTAACCAATTGAGGAAACCGGCCAGCCATAGTTGCCTGTTTTGAGATTTAATATTTTTTTCGTAGGCTTTATTTATAATGGAAAGAATTTAAATTGTAACAGTATTGCACTATTAAATACTTTTTTCTATTTTCTTAATCTATACATATGACAAGCTTGTAATTTCTAAAGCAAAAGAACCCATTCGTCATGTTTTTAACTAAGATATTTGTGTGTTGCATTTTATTTTTTATGTGTTTAGGGGTCTTCAGAAGGAAGAAATTGTTTTGCTTACACATGGAGATAGTGTAGACAAAGTAGCTGATGGATTCAAGGTTGTGGCGCGTTCTGGGAACATTGTAGCAGGTGAAAATTCTAAAAATTTTGCAGATTTCATTAAAAAATTTATTTGAAGAGTAAACATACGTTTCTGTGAGGTATGCTTCGATTTTTCTTATTTTTTAAAGATATTGTAAATGTGGTATGATCAATTATTAACTAATGAAGGGAATTTAATATTAAAAGGATTAGCTAGAAGTCACTTACTGGTTTGCTTTGAAATACTTTTTAAAATGCGCATTCTAATATAAGCTTTTCAAATAAAGAACACTACACTTTTATAACTGAGAAAAAATTTTAGAACTGTCCATCTTCTTATTATACCATATTCATAGTTGCCTGTTTTTTGATGCCTTTCTTAGGTATACTTAGGCATGTGTGCTGTACGTCCATAAAACATCAGCACTTATGACATTTCTCTGAACCAGAGTTGGCATCAGGGTTGTGGGTCACATCCAGCCTGTAGCCTGATTTTGTATGTCCCGGAGCTAAGAATGATTTTTACATCATTAAAGGGTTGTTATAAAACCTGGGGACTGTATATGTTACACAAAGCTTAAAATATTAACTATCTGGCCCTTTGCAGAAAGTTTGATGACAGATCCTGTAAATCGTTTTTGTTCTCTACTTTTTTGAAGAAGAGGAATTAATTTTCTGGAAATTTAAGGTTTTGACTTGTTTGCCTGAATAACTGTAATGTAAATAATCACTAATGGTCTTGAAAAATCAGTAAAAGGAAAAAGTGGGTTTATCAAGAAAGCCTTTTTTTTTTTTTGAGAGATCACACCTAAATAAGTTGGAAAAAAAAAAATTGTCATGGATAAGTTGAATCAAGTAATCTGCCAGCAGTTACTTAACAGACTAATACATTAGCACAGGAATTAAGAATGGTTTTTATACTGAAAGGTTTTTACTTTATATAAAAGAAGTAAAAGATGGCCCACAGTAATAGATGGGCCAATGTCTTATTTATTCAGCAAATATTTGAGTACCTATTATGTATCAGGCACAATTCTAGGTGTCAAGGATACAGTAATGAACTAAATAGGCAAAATCTCTGTTCATGGGGGGCATCAAGGATAGATAATACACAAATACAGACTATGTTAGTGTTTACATTGAAAAAATAAGCGGAGGGGAGAGAGCATGTTGCAGAATGTGTATAATTAGGGTTGTTACAATTTTATATAGGATATTCAGGGAATGTATTCCTATAACATGGCATTGGACCTCGAGAAAGTGGCTGCTGATCTCTGGATATTTGGGGGAAGAGGAAATAGCAGTGCAGAGGTCCTGGGATGGGACTGTATTTGAGGAGCAGCAAGGAGACCACATGGTTGAAGCAGAGTAAACATGGGAGAGAGCGGGAGAAGATGAAGTTAGAGAGATAGTTGGGGGTAAGAACACAGGACCTTTGAGCCACTGCAAAACTTTGGCTTTACTCATAGTGAGGCGAGGTTTTGAACAAAAGATATGTGATCTAATTTCAGGATTAGGTTACAGTGACGTGAAAAGGGACAGAGTCAAAAAAAATAATCAGGAAGACCAGCTAGGAATTTGTTGTAGTACTCAGGAGAGAGACAGTGTTGTCTGGACTAGGGAGGTAGAGGTGGAAATAATCAGGAGTGATTGGATTCTGATTTGAAGGGAGATACAAAGGATTTGCTGTTGGATTGGGTGCAGAGTTGGGAAGAGAGAATAGAATTGAATTTAACTCCTAAGTTTTGGGGCCTGAGTGACCAGAAGGGTGAAGTTTATATTTACCTGATGAGAAAGACCTCAGTTTAGGTTTGCATATTAAATTCATGATGCCTTATTAAACATCAAAATGAAGGTGTCAAGTAAGCAATTGTATATGAGTCTGGACTTTAGAGGAGAAAATTTTGTTGGAGGTATAAATTTGGGAGTTTACCAGCATATGGGTGGAATTTTAAGGTATGACAGTATGAGACCTCTCACAATGTATAGAGAAGAAATTTAAACTGAGCACTGAGTGACTTGAATGTGTAGAGATGAGCAAGATGGGAAGGAACTAAGAAAGATTCAGAAGGAGCAGCCAGTGAAGTTATAATTGAACCAAGAGAGCCAAATATAAAGAAAGGTTGAGGTGCCCTGGTGTAGTAGAATGAGAATGAGTTTGGGAGTCTGCCAGGCCTGATTTCGTTACTTAATTAGCTGAGAGTTCCGGCAAGTTTCTTGATATGGCTTTGAGATAAAGGGGTGATATATGCACATGTAAAATATCTGTCTAGCCTAACATCTGCTGCGTAGTAGATGACTTATGTGTTTCTGACAAATTATTAAGTAGGTGAAGTTATATTTGTGGTTAATAGTATCCAAAAAAGAAACATTTAGAATATTTTGACTAGTCTGATATGAGATTCTTTTAACCTAGGAAATAGGTATCTGCACATTGTATGTGAAAGCCATGTGGGACCAAGAACCAAAATGAGTTATTGTTGCATTAAATAGACAAGATAATTGAAGTTACTTGGGTGAAGAAGTGAGGATACTGTGAAATCTCTGTGTAGATTTATTGTACTGTTTTATAGCTTATTAGTTCCTATTATCAAGGAAGACTTTTATAAAGAAAGACTATGACAATGTAGTTTTTATTTGTGTTATGTATTGTCTTTCTCTGTAGCTAAAAAATCCATTAAACTGTATCAATTTTAATATTTATGGAGAAAGCAATTGTGAGGAATTAATTGTGGGTATTGGTTGAGTCTTTCCAACATGAAAAGAATTTAATTTGTGATTATTTTCTCTACAAAGGTATTGCAAATGAATCTAAAAAATTATATGGAGTACAATTCCACCCTGAAGTTGGCCTTACAGAAAATGGGAAAATAATACTGAAGAATTTCCTTTATGATATAGCTGGGTGCAGTGGGAACTTCACTGTGCAGAACAGAGAACTTGAGTGCATTAGAGAGATCAAAGAGAGAGTAGGCACGTCAAAAGTTTTGGTAAGCAATTTATCATCTGGAAGTTTACAAATTTATGTCAATAATGTTGGACCCAGAGCTGGATTTCTCAGTACAGCCCTTAAATGTTGACTTTGTGAACACATGCTTTGTGTATTGCACTGTTCCAGAGTGCTTTTTCAGTTGCCATATGTACCTTTGATACAGGCAATGCTTTTAGGTAATGATTTCTTTCAGCTGATAGTGTTTATTTTCTTTTTGCTTATTCTGCTCAGTTTTATTTTATTTTATTTTTTTTTTACTCTGTAGGTTTTACTCAGTGGTGGAGTGGACTCAACAGTTTGTACAGCTTTGCTAAATCGTGCTTTGAACCAAGATCAAGTCATTGCTGTGCACATTGATAATGGCTTTATGAGAAAACGAGAAAGCCAGTCTGTTGAAGAGGCCCTCAAAAAGCTTGGAATTCAGGTCAAAGGTATTGATGAACTCCAGAAAAATTAATTCATGTGATAGGCCCTGATTAATCTAATCTAGCCTTGTGGTTTAAATGAGCATATTGCCCTAACGAATTAGTTTTCTCAATAAACTCAAGGCTGAAAATGTTTTATTTTTACATTGTAGCTACTTCTAGTTCAAGAGGGGTTCCAGCATAAATTTTATTTTTATTTTTTTAAGTTTGTTACTGTTATTTTTTTTACATACTAAGATGTTGTTGCAGAGCAGTTGCTGGGAGTTAGGTGGAAACAGGGAAGGAAATAGGGTGGGAGAAGGAGAAAGGAGTGGGGGTATGGTTGAGGCCCATGGCATCCCCCTCTTTCCTTCAGGAGAGACCAGGGGGCTTCCAGCAGTGGTTGGTCGTTGCTGGGCTGGATGCACATGTCAGGGGTGTGTGGCTCAAGCCCTCAGCTCCCTGCCACCCCGGGTCAGGGGACCAGGGGACTTCCAGCAGTGGCTTGGTGGTTGTTGCTGGGCTGGTTGCTGATGTCAGGGGGGCATGGCTGAGGCTCTGGCCCTCCTCCATCCCTGGCATGGGAGTCCAGGGTGCTTCTGGTCCTTCTAGGTTTTATAGGTGTTATTTGGTGATGTGAGACCTTTACTAGTTAATATCAAACTTTGTCTCTGATCTGTGGGTGCATTGTTTTTTCTTTCAGTTCTGTGTTGGATTATTTGCTGTTCCCACCCCTTAAACTCTGCACTGGAACTAATTTGTTGGCCTTTGCTTACTTCTAAAATGGGGGAACTTCCTAAGGGAAACAGTACTTGAGCCCTGTAGTTTCTAAAATGGGGGAGCTTCCTGTGGGGACCAGTATTTGAGCTTTGTGGTTGAGCTAAATTGCTGCTTTGCTGCTGGTTCCCTGGGGAAGCCTTTTTGTGCGGCTCAGGTTTTAATGGTTGACCTTATATGTACTTCTTGAGCTAAATTGCTGCTTTGCTGCTGGTTCCCTGGGGAAGCCTTTTTGTGCGGCTCAGGTTTTAATGGTTGACCTTATATGTACTTCTGGGTCTTGAGAGTTCCAGTACTTCTGGGTTGTGTGGAAACTCTGGTCTAGGCCTGAGTCTTTTCAGTAAACTGCACTCCCAGCAGACCTGTATTCCTGACCAGTCTCCACTGAGTGGTCCTGTGCTGTTTGGAGGGCAGATTAGCTGTCCCTGCTGTGCCCCAGTGTTCCTTGGTGGGCGCATCTCCCCCACCGCCTACACTCCAAACACTTCCCATGGGATGGGCCATGTGCCGGTCCCTTGCGATAACTCACCGGTCTCTGAGCAGCTCCTTTTTTCAGTTGTTGTGGCTCCTCCTATGTGGGTCCATGGGAACCCTGTTAGTGATCTTGCTGACCTGAGGGCCACTAAGGCCCTCTTCTCCCCTGCAACCTCTAAGCAACTTCGTACGAATGACACAGCTGTTGTGGCTTTTGCCAGCTCTTGCTCCGTGCGCTCAGCAGCTCCAGCCTTGAAGCGGCCAGGATTTGAAATGGTGGGAATGATCCTTTCTTTCTCTCATCGTAGCTTCTTCTGCCTTCATTAACTCTGTAGGTCTCTCCTCCTCTTCCCCTGAGCTCTAGCAGCCCCAACTGGGCTGTTGTTGCTTTTTAATAGTTGTAAGTTGATTTGCGGGAGAGAGTGACACTGGGGACTGTCTATTCCTCCATCTTGACCTGAAGCCCCAGTATAAATTTTAAAACTATGGATGACTACTAATGTTATACTTAGATTGATAAGTTACCATTTTCCAGCTACTATTCTGTTCTCCTCTAGTCTCTTTTAAAATTAACTTTTCCCACCCTATTTTACAATATTATTTATGCACAAGAATACCGAAGCCCACTGATAGCAGGTATGGATATACAGATTATTTTGCAAACAAGCCTATACAGAGAAGGGTGGTCACTTTTTATTTTGAAAGGCCACTAGCAAACCTCATAGTCCTTTTTTTTCTTTTTTAAACAATATAGTCGTTTTTCGTGTCCCTTTACCAATTCCTCCCTTACCTCCCCTCCTCTTTCCCACCTCTGGTAACCACAGTCTTAGTTGTTAATGACATTTACATTTGTGGATATCTTTTATATTTTTTAAAAACAAGGTGATCAATAGTTACAGTGAAATGAGGTCAGTAGTTTAATGATACAAATTTTAAATATTACTGAATTGATTGGAATAATTTGGAGTTGATGCTGAAAGGCTGAACATAAGATGACAACTTGTAGGTAAACATGAAGTGAATAAGAGTCCATTTCTTTCTCCTTTTGAAACTTCACTAAAATAACAGTAAAGGTGTAAAACAAGTGTATTGCCACAAGGATAAGGAATAGAGGAGATGACAGCAGACAAATGGTTTTAACAAAACTTTGGAAGGTGGAAAGCAGATAGATAAGGTGGATTTTCTCTGATAGGCTAATGGTATTTAATCTTCAGGGCCCGTTAGGGGCCAGGCCTCTTCCAAAGTCGTGGGATGAACCCTAGCAGCATCTTCACATGGTCATATGTTTTTGTGAAATTTATAAGTAAGATATTTTAATAGTTTGTAGTTGTTTATTTTCTCTTCCCACTCTAAGTTGTTATCTGTTGGATGGTGTTGGAGTGGCTTTGAGCATTTCAGGATCAAGCTAACTAAAAGTTGAGCTGGGGTTACATTTAGTTTGGATTTAGTGGTATATATGTGATTTGTGATTATTTCTGTGTATAATTAAGATCTTGCTAGCCATCCCAGTATAACTTATGATTTTTGAAGTATCTTATTTGTTCTGTTTCTTGAAGGGGGCCTTCAAATTGTAAACATTTTATCCCTACAAAAATCTGGATCTGTCCCTGGTAACTGACATAGTAGGATGGAGGAATTCAAAACCTTGGGGTTTTGGGGGGAAGGAAGCCAACAAAAAGCAAAGTGGTTTGTGCTGTAAGCTTCTGGGGAGGCTTAGGGATTGGAAGCATTGGGTTCCTTTTGGGGTATGGGTCTCTGGGTGAGTCTGAAACAGACTGGTTGAAAATCTGAGAAGCAGATCCTTTTCCTTAACACAGGGGCACTGTGGGGTTTATTTTCTAGAGAGGCTAAACAAGAGAATATTGGGCATACTAATACCAAGCATAGTTGAGGGTGAAGGTAAGACTCTATGTTAACAACAGGATTAAGTAAAAATCTATGTATTAAGTGGTGACTCCCTCCCCTCACCACTTCTGTTTAAATACTAGAATGCTGATAGGCAGGAGACTAGAGTTATTTTCTCTATGATAATTGGCCAGCTTAAGGGAAAGACCTATAGTTTCACTAGCAGTCCCCCAGTGAAAGAGTCAGCTGCCTTGTCATCTTATGGTGAAGCCCACCAGTAGTTAAGACTTCTTGCCAAATAAAGATCTTAGTCAGTGTTTAGTTCCTTAAATATAAAAGGACAACCTACGATTGCTAAATATATGTTCATAAATTTCAGTGTTTCAAGAGACTCATCAGTGTGTAGTTCTGAGGACTTTGATTCTCTGTATGTGAACCACTGCTTTTGACTCCCTTGGGACTATGGTGGAGCACTGAACAGAGGGAAAGCCACCAGTATAATTCGTGATATGGCCCTAGATCACTAAATGCCACAGGATTCTCACAAGAACAAAATGTAATGACTGCTCGCATCTGGACTCTTTCTTGTGGTTTATTGATAGTTCTTCAATTTGTAGGCAGATTAGGGGAGATCAGAAGTCCATCTAGGTATTCTTTCTGTAGTTTGACTTTTTATTTGTGATCTAAAAAAAAAATCTGTTATTTTAAAACACATGTCTCCTCTCCCCAGTGATAAATGCTGCTCATTCTTTCTACAATGGAACAACAACTCTACCAATATCAGATGAAGACAGGACCCCACGAAAAAGAATTAGCAAGACGTTAAATATGACTACAAGTCCTGAGGAGAAAAGAAAAATCATTGGGGATACTTTTGTTAAGGTACCTTTCTTTTTAATATTCCAATGTGAATCTTAGTATTTTTTTTTCTTATCATTATATCAAGTAATGAAATTTGCTGACCAGTTTTGATTTTTTCTTTATTGGATGAGAATTTTACTGTATACAAGGGTAGTTTAAAAAGTTCATGGAAAAATATGATTAAAAAAGATAATATGAATCTTTCCATGAACTTTTTGAAATGCCCTCATATTATTACTCTATTAACCAGTAGAAACTGCTTTATGTTTTAAAAACATTTATACTTATGTTGCCAGACTGTTGTTTTAACTGCTTAAGAATAGATGTTTTCAGTTGATTTTGGACTTTTTTTTTTTTGTTCCTTTTTTGTCTTTTTTACTGACCGGTAACGGGATCGCAACCCTCGGTGTTGCACCCGCACCGCGCTCAGCCAGTGAGCGGGAACCGGTCTCCACATGGGATCCGAACCCTCGGCGGGAGCGCCGCCACACTCCCAAGCGGCGCACTCTCAAGTGGGCCACCGGGCCGGCCCTGATTTTGGACTTTAATTCATTGGTTATCTCAATGGCTAGATTTCAGGCTCCTGAAGGGAATGTTCATATACCTTTCTGTATCATGTTAAAGGACATGTTCATAAAAGAGTTTATTTTGGGGGTTGGTGAATTTCATTTCCTGATCAGTATTGCAAAAGGACTCTGAGAAATTTAGCTAAAAGTATAAAATTTTGCTGTGTTAAAAAGATTCATCTCTTATAAGGCTATTTTACTTGTTGGTTATAGATTGCTAATGAAGTAATTGGAGAAATGAACCTGAAACCAGAGGAGGTTTTCCTTGCCCAAGGTACTTTACGGCCTGATCTAATTGAAAGTGCATCTCTTGTTGCAAGTGGCAAAGCTGAACTCATCAAAACCCATCACAATGACACAGAACTTATCAGAAAGTTGAGAGAAGAGGTAAAAGCTTATGATGACTTTTCCATAAATTAGACACATGGAGAGTCTGTCTCCCTCTTTCCCTTCTTCTATCTGAATATTTACAGGGTTGTACATCCATCACCATGGTGTAATTTTAGAACATTTTTATTACCCCAAAAAGGAACCTCATACTTGTTAGTAGTCACTCCTCAGTCTACCTGTTTTCAACCACCTCCGCTTGTCCTGGTATCCCTAGGCAACCATTAACCACTGATTTATTTTCTGTGTTTATAGACTTGCCCATTCAGAACATTTCATATAAGTGGAATCATACAATATGTGGTTTATGACTGGTTTCTTATACTTACCATAATGTTTCCAAGGTTCACCCATTTTGTAGCATGTATCAAAACTTTATATTCCTTTTTATTGCCAAATAATATTTTATTGTATGGATATATTATATCTTATCCATTCATCAGTGATGGACATTAAGGTTGTTTTGACTTTTTAGCTATTATAAGTAATGCTGCTGTGAACATTGGTTGCATGTTTTTGTGGATGTGTGTTTTTGTTTGTTTTGGTATCGACCTAGGAGTAGAATTGCTAGGTCTTATGATAACTCTCTATTTAACATTTTGATGAACTGCCAGACTGTTATCCAAAATGACTGCACCATTTTACATTCCCAGCAATGTATGAGGGTTCCGATTTCCCACATCCTCACCAAGACTTACCTGTTTTTTAGTTGTGGTAGTGGTGGTGGTAGTAAAAACACAAAACATAAAATTTACCATTTTAACCATTTTTAAGTGTACTGTTCAGTAGTGAGAATATTCACATTGTTGTGAAACAGATCTCCAGAACTACTTCTTACAAAACTGAAACTTTATACCCATTAAATAACTCTCCTTTTCTCCCTTCTCCAAACCCTTGGTAACCACCATTCTACTTTCTGTTTCTATGAATATTTTAAGTATTTCATACAAGTGGAATCATGCAGTATTCTCTTCATGACTGGCTTATTTCACTTAGTATAATGTTCTCAAAGTTCATCTGTGTTGTAGCATGTGACAGAATTTGCTTCCTTTTTAAGGGTGAGTATTATATCATTGTATGTATGTACTACATTTTGTTTATCCATCTATTTATTGATGGACATTGGGGTTGCTTCTATCTGTTGGATATTGTGAAAAGTGTTGCTGTGAAGATGTGTACACAGACATTTCTGCAAGGTCCTCCTAATTGCTGGATCGTACAGTAGTTTTATTTTTAAATTTCTTGAGGAACCTTCATACTTGTTTTTCATAGCAATTGTACCATTTTACAAAGTGCACTACAGTTCTGATTTCTCCGCATTTTTACCAACATTTTTTATTTTCTTTTTTTTTTATAGTAGCCATCCTAATGGGTGTGAATTTTCTGTTTTTTATTTTAGTCATCCTAGTGGATGTGAAGTGGTATCTGATTGTAGTTTTGATTTGTCCTTCCATAATGGCTAATGATGTTGAGACTCTTTTCGTGTATTTTTTATAGTAGCCATCCTAATGGGTGTGAATTTTCTGTTTTTTATTTTAGTCATCCTAGTAGATGTGAAGTGGTATCTGATTGTAGTTTTGATTTGTCCTTCCATAATGGCTAATGATGTTGAGACTCTTTTCGTGTGCTTCTTGGCCATTTGTATATCTTGGAGAAATGTCTGTTCATATTCTTTGGTCATTTTTAAATTAGCTTATTTATCTTTTTATTATTGAATTGTATTCTTTATATATTCCGGTTACAAGTCTTTTATCAGATATATGACTTGCAAATATTTTCTCCTGCTCTGTGGGTTGTCTTTTCACTCTCTTGATATTGTTTGAATAGTTTTAATTTTGAAACAACAATATAATATTTTGTAATTGCCTTGTGTCCTAACGAGAACTAGATCAGAGACGGTGGGTTGGTTTACCTTGATTTATTTACATTTAAAAGATTTACGTATAAAATGTTTCATGGAGAAATAAGAATACCACTAAAATATTCATCTACATCCTTAAAGCACGTAAGAGGAAATACTTTATTTTTAAATTTTATTTTATTTTTTTTGGCAGCTGGCTGGTATAGGGATCCAACCCTTGACCTTAGGAGGAAATACTTTAAAGATGCATTTTTAAAAACAGTTTTTTAATCTAAGGAAAATAACAACAGGAGAAGCCAATAATTTGTTACACTGTGTTTTTCACGTCATTTTAGTAACTAATTTGTATTGACTGGGTTTTTTTCCTCCTTGTAGGGAAAAGTAATAGAACCTCTGAAAGATTTTCATAAAGATGAAGTGAGAATTTTAGGCAGAGAACTTGGACTTCCAGAAGAGTTAGTTTCCAGGCATCCATTTCCAGGTAAAAGAAAAAAAAAAAAAACACTGAATTTTGTTTGATTTGTTTTTAGACCTTCATGATGAAGAAAAATCAGTTCAGACAATCTGAAACAGTTTTTCATCTTAGGTAATATTGTGACAGAGAAAGGAAAGGATGAGTAGGGAACAAACACATTACATTTTTTTTTTTTAGTATCTACTGTCTTCATTTTATTAAATACTCATTTTCTGTTGTCTTTGTATTTTAATATTACATGATCCCCGGGAGTCTGGCATTTGTTACCATCAGATGAGAAAACAAAGGGATAGAGATATTTTAATAACATTGCCACGTAATTCTTAGTAGTAGAGCTAGGGTTTGTATGGTTTTTGTACTCTGGTGCATTCCATGGTAGAAGTGAGGATTACAACTTGGTTCCCTAAAATCCTTATCCTATGTCTGGCTCGTCTGAATGGATGAGCCACTTCATTCACATGCAGAGCATTCTTTGCACTATGTTCTATGTAAGTAATTCATGAACAAATACAAATTCTCAATTTTTAAATAGTCGTTGTCTTTCATATAGAAAATATTAGAGGTGATATTTGTTTAAAGTTAGGACTGAGAGTCTTAACCTGTTTTTTTGTTGTTGTTTTTTAAACCTGTTTTTGTTACTATTTTTTGAGCTTGGGCAAGTTTTTTTTTTGGGGGGGGGGGCTGGCCGGTAAGGGGATCTGAACCCTTTGACCTTAGTGTTATAACATCGTGTTCTAACCAGCTGAGCCAATGGGCCAGCCAAGCTTGGGCAAGTCTTGTACCTGAGTTTCTAGCTCCCAATAGTAGTGATTAGGCGATGAGTTGGAAGAATGGTCTAACTAAATTTAAAAACATTATAATAGTTAATATTTCTTAAGCACTTGCTATGTGCTAGTCATTCTGCTAAATGCTTTAAACATATTGTCTTATTTGATCTTTAAGTAGAAATTAGTATTATCCTGTTTTACAGATGAGGACATTTTAGGGACAGAAGCTAATTTGCTGCAAGTTTAGCAGATGAGAAGGTGTGAAGCCAGGATTATAACCCCAATAACCTCTACCTCAGAGTTTATACTTTTAACTACTATATTGCCTCCATAAACATTGTTAACAAATGTATGACTATGTGGTGATTAGCACTTTTTATCACATCTAGTAATCAAATCTAGTAATTTAAGATCTTCAATCCCTAACTTATATGCTGGCAAAGGATGGTCTGTGAATGTAATGGAGGGAGGCCAAGCAGTCCTGTGAGCCTGGTCATCATTTCAGGAAGACTCACTTGATTTTTTTATAGTCTATTTTATATATTGGGTTTTTCTATCATGTAAGATTTCATCGGGGAAAAAAAAGTTTTGCTGCTTTAAACACTACTTATGTTAAACAAGCTATTTATTCTAAAGATGAGGAGTGAGACTGAGGAATTAATGGGTATTTCTTAGATTTTTGCCTTTAACTAGGCATCTCAAGTCATCTTTTCTGTTGCAGTAAAGCAGCAGAATTCAGTTTTCTTAGATCCTTGCATAACTTGTATTTTTTATCAGCTTTTCCGTATTTGGTAAAATAGAAATACCAGTTTACATTCTTTGGAGTTAAACACACTCTTTTATAATTTGCTTGAATTTTTTTAACAGCATACTACTTTTCCTAAAATTAGATTGTAGTTGAAGCTGGATAATGAATATAAGATGGTTCTTTATACTGTCCTCTTTACTTTTGTGTATGTTGGGAAATTCCCTTAATAAAACTTTTTAAATTGGCACATATATTGTGAGTTAAAAACATTTACTGGAGAATTTTCAGACACTTAATACATGGACTGTAAAAATAAGAGGTAGAAATCTGTGATATGGAGAGAATTGAAGCATTCTAAAAAACGATGAGTTGGGTGAGAAACTAATTTGAAATTAAATACTTGAAGAAACTTAACCTATCATGGCAGATGAGTTTTAGTTTTGGAAGGATTTTATATTTTGGAAATAGTGGCACTTTATATTTTTTATATTAAACATAAAATTTATATCAAGTACTGCTGTTACTCTTATCTTTAGGTCCTGGCCTGGCAATCAGAGTAATATGTGCTGAAGAACCTTATATTTGTAAGGACTTCCCTGAAACCAACAATATTTTGAAAATAGTAGCTGATTTTTCTGCAAGTGTTAAAAAGGTAATATTTGACACAGCCAATTAATATAAGGAATTGAGCGGATTCTTGTGAATTTCTTAGTGTTTCATTATTTGAAAATTTAGGGTAAAATAACCTTTGAAATGACTTATGAGGGAAGTATTCCACAGAGACTTATAGATGCAGACTTCTCTTTCTAGCCAAATAAGACTGGATATCTTGAAACCCTAAAAATATTAGACTGAGTTTTTAAAATACTCTTTCATATGTATTTCAAGAAAGTAAGGGATATCCTTTGAATCAGGAATGAATTGGAAGCATCAGTTCTAGATGCTTCTCTTGATCAGTTTAAAGTTATTTGTTCCTCTGCGGGCAGCTACTAATCCCATGTGGTCTAGGACTTTGGTTTTAGCAGTTCTACTCATGCACAGGTTTCTGAATATGAGACCTTGGGTTCATGGAAGACTAGGAATTGGATCAGAGATCTTCACACTGAACAACACTTTAGCTCCAAAGTGAGGATGCGTGGAAAAGTCTCCAAGTCCTGTAGAGTTGGGGCCTCAATTCATAATCTGTGTGGTTTGAAAACTGCAAGATAAGAATTGTAATTTAAATTGGACCTGGGTTGGCAGTGCTTCCAGGAGTCGGGCAAGAAACAATGTAAATCCTCTTTGGACTGTCTTTAACTAGGCCACAAAGAATTCCCGTAGAGTTCCAACAAATAGGAGCTTACAGTAAAAAATTACAAAACACATACAGAAGTAAGGCACCATGATGAGAGTGGAAGCAACTAGCAGAACAAGATCCTCAAAGACTTTAGATACTGGAATTAACAAACAAAAGATAAAGTTAGTATAAATAAAAGAGGCTGTTGATAATAAGAATAAGGTACACAAGACTGCTAAAAATGAATGGCCAGACTAGGGAAAAAATCTAAATTCGAGAAATTAAAATAGTAATTGATATTAAAAATAACTAAAGAGAGAATTAGTAAACTCAAAGATGGATGTCATGAAATTATCCAGAAATTGGGACAAATCATCACAAAAAGTATTGGTAGAGGTTAAGACAGAATGAGAAGGTCATTTCTAACATATGTCCAGACCGAGATAATAGACAAAAAATATATCAATTCCTTCACACTAGTGAAAGACATGGTGCCTCAGACTCGGTAAACAACACATCCCGAGCAGGATAAAGAAAAGGAATTTGAAACATAGTAGGCATTTCTAAGTAAAATTACAGACTGCCAAAGACAGCAGTGCAAAGAAAACATTGATTACCTACAAAGGAAAAACTGTTATACTGAAAGCAACAGTAAAAGCAAGACTTTAATGTGCTTAGAGAAAATAATTAACTGTGGTGAACAGTTAAAGAACTGAGCAAAATCTAGTTAAGAACTAGAGCAAAATAAAGTCATTTTCAGATAAATAGAATTTACTGCTACACAGCCCTTGACTAAAGGAACTAAAGGCAATGATTTTCAACACTGACTGTGTATTAGAGTCAGCTGGGGGAGCTTTCAAACTATACTATTCTTGGCCCATTTTCCTAGAATTTCTTATTTAATTGGTGTGGGATGGGACCTGAGCATCCCAAGTAACTGTGTATTTGAGAACCACTGTTTTAAAGAACTAACTTCAGGAGAAGCAAAAGGAATTCAGGAGAAGGTTCTGAGATACAAGAAAGAATAGCAAGCAAAGAAATTGGTAAATTGAAACACAAACATGGACTGCATAAAATAGTAAAAATAATAATTTCTACTTTTTGGTTTTTATTTAAAAAGTAAAAAACAATATATAACCAAAGTAGCATGTTAGCCACAAAGGGCTTGATTTAAGTTAGAGCATTGCAAGATGTTTGTATTGTTTGCTGGAAGGACAGAGAGACTGATTCTCTTTTGTTAAATATCTATGCTAACACTTAGGGGGACTACTAAAAGAATGGAAATAGAGGCTTTAACTTCAAAACCAACAAAGGGAAAATAAATGAGCTGGGAGCAATCACCAGTTCAAAAAATGTCAAAGAAGAAACATAAAAAATGGGGCAAACAGAAACTAGAGAATAAGAGGGTAGAATGAAATTCAAGCATATTATTAACCCACAATTAATTAAAAGGACTAACATCTCCAATTAAGACATAGATTGTCAAACTAGATTTGAAAACTAAAATCTGTTTAGAACAATAAATCTGAAAAGTATAACCTGTTCACAAAAGACATTAGTAATATCTAGGGATAGGAGGAGTGAATGTAAAAGAATGAAAAAACACATACCAGGCAAATAAACCCAAAAAAGGAAGTGAGAGGAGCTGTATTACTTTCAGGCAAAATTGACTTAATGGCAAAAGGTATCATTAGAGATAAGGAAGTTTGACTCAGGTGAGGTGTGTCATTTTCTGGTTACAGGGAAGTAAAGCCTTGATGTATGTAAACCTAATCTGTATTTCTTTTTTTTTTCCTTTTTTTTTTTGTCTTTTTTTACTAGCCGGTAACGGGATCGCAACCCTCGGTGTCGCGCCCGTACCGGGGACCGGCAACGGGATCGCAACCCTCTGTGTTGCGCCCGCACCGCGCTCAACCAGTGAGCGGGAACCGGTCTCCACATGGGATCCGAACCCTCTGCAGGAGCGCCGCCGCGCTTCCAAGCGGCGCAGTCTCCAGTGCGCCACCGGGCCGGCCCCATGTATTTCTTATCCTGAGATTTAATTTCTTCATAGTCCTAGCCCTCAGAAATTAACTTCTGGTATAGTGCATAGCACACAAGTCAAGATGATACCAAATACAATCTATTGCTATAAACCAGTAAGTATAGATATATAAGATAGTAGTAGATAGGAAAAGATTAAATACCTTATTTCTTGAAACCTGAAAAGGTATCTCTGGTCTTTTCAGCCACATACACTATTACAAAGAGTCAAAGCCTGCACAACTGAAGAGGATCAGGAGAAGCTGATGCACATTACAAGTCTGCATTCACTGAATGCCTTCTTGCTGCCAATTAAAACCGTAGGTGTGCAGGTGAGTTGTGTGAATTCATTGACTTGTCTGTGACATAACTTTCTGCAGTTTGCTCTTGTCACTGATATTGAAGTAGGAATTACTTACGAAAATGAAATATGAAAGTACTTATATACACCAAGTTTAGAAAAGTAAAAAGGCAATATTTTATAAGAATGTGTATGGAGTGAATGAGATTATATGAGGGAAAAATAGGATTGAAAGATAATATGAATCTTTCCATGAACTTTTTGAAGTCCCCTTGTAGGAATGAAATATTCAGGCTGAGATTTTGTAGTTTGGGAATATCTGTCAACTCTAACCAAAAGTAAAAATTAAAAGTTATAGGATTGGCTTGCTTGCTTTTGCCTTAAGGGGCAGGTACCATTTATCCTTCTAGGTTTGAAATATACTGTGGCTCTAGAAGTCTTAACTGCAAGAAGACCCTCAGATGAATATATTACGCTATTGAGGTCATTTTCTCAACTTGTGTATTCCCTAGACCAGTGTTCTCTCTCAACATGTCACCTCTCTTCCTTGGCTGTGATGATGAACAACTAATGTCTTTTGTATTTTTTATTCTGCCTTTCTAGTTGTAAAAGCATGTGAGAATAATATAGTTCTTACTTTAAAATGCTATTTATAAATGATTACATTTAAGTTCTTTATTTATATGACTCTAAACTGACCTTTTAGGGAAAAAAAGCTAGGGAGGGTAGGGAAAAAGGTTTCTTTTCTGTTATTTAGAGTTTTAGTGGTTAAATGAAGACTGGAAAATTCACACTGTTATTAACTCAAAATAGTACGAGTGCCAGTTATTGGGTTAATGTAGTTATAATGTCCTCATAGTAGAATTATTTGTGGAAAGAAATTAACTATACTGTTTTAGAGATTATTCATCTAAAACTTAATAAGCATATTCTTTTTCCTAAATATGTGAATCAATCAGTTTAAATTTCTCCTTGCTCTGAATTCATATAGTTCTGTCTGTAAACAAGATAACAATTCATTGTCACTTTTAAGTTAAACTAAAATATTTTAGTTCATGGAAGTGATAGAGCCAGTTATTTTGGTTACAGAACTCTTGCTCTATATTCTCCCCCCTCCCCCTTTTAAAAGCTGAGTTGTAAGCTGCTTATATTGTTTTTAAAGCACTATTGAAATAACCCTTCTTGGAACTGTAGAAACAATTTTCTTTCTTTCAGTGGTTTATGGGTTATCTCATTTATCATTCATTTTGAGATTTGCTGTGATATTTACAGGCAGATATTACCCTACTGTCTAAAAATAGAAGTGTAGATAGGTTATTTAATTCTTTAAAAATGTTCCCTGTCCTGAGTAAATCTATTATAGAAAACTCCCACCTCTGTATGCTAACTCCTGCTAGACAGTGAGTGAGTTGAAATAGTTCCCAATGTCCTTTTCGGGGAAGTGTTGTAGGTAATGGTGTTATAGATAGATGCTTGAGATAATATAATTTGTTGGAGAAAACTCCCACCTCTGTATGCTAACTCCTGCTAGACAGTGAGTGAGTTGAAATAGTTCCCCACTCTCCTTTTCGGGGAAGTGTTGTAGGTAATGGTGTTATAGATAGATGCTTGAGATAATATAATTTGTTGAATGAGTGATTTCTTTTCTGAAAATGAAACTTTTTCAGGCTCTACTATTTTCACCAAAATAAGTTTCTTTTGTTGTTAAATACCTAAATTTACTTTAGTCTCTTAGGTCTTTGCAAACCCAGATAAAAATTGTAATTCATGGTTAATACAGCAGTGAGGTTTATTTGCTAAATACCAAAGTAAACCATACCTGTAAAAAATCAAAATACATTAAAAATATTCACCTTATTTCTACTCTCCAGTTGTTTTGTATGTGTCCTTCCAGAAATATTTATTTTAAACTTACTTAAAAATGTTAAAAGATTATAGATACACGTTGTTAACTTTTTTCTTTTAGATGGACATAATGTACTTTTGATCTTTCAATGTCTTTACAAGTAGATTATTCTTCTTAGCTGCTGCCTCATATTCCATGTATACCATAATTTATTTAAAGGTTCTTCTATCAGTGGGCTTTTAAACTGTTTCCAGTTTTTCATTATTATACGCATTTCAGCAGTTACTCATGTATTTCTGTAGGTTCATTTCCTAAATTAAAGAGCATGTATCGAAACTATCAAATTAGCATTCAAATACTTTAAGTTCTCATATTCTCAGTATCTGACATTCTGGGTATTAGATAGTTATCTAATGAATCTGTTACCTTTTTAAATGGCTTTTTTAATTTGATTTTTTTAAAAAAGCAAATTACTTGAATTAAACAGGCCAAAGAAAAAGGGAATCAATTATTACCAGTTTTATTCACCTATTTTTAAATTAACTTTTTTAGCTCATGTTTAAACAAATTAATAAGTAAATCTTTATGAATTGTTTTTGTCTCCCAACTAAGAATCCCTTATCTACCCAATAAACATGGGCAGAACCTGTCTGCCAAATTAAGTATGAGGGCTACCCGCAGTTGGGCACACATTCAGAATGAAATCTCAGTGGCCCTCAGGTATAAGTTGAATAAATTTTTGAAATTACCATGATGCTTTCATTATGTCTGAACCAATTCAGATATGGGATTTTAATTAGGGTTTATTTATATCATTAGAGAAATGTCTAGTATATGCTTTTATTCAAACAATGTTGTTGTTAAAAAAAATTACTATTAATAGTGTTACCATGCATAAGCTATTTTCCAACCCATCTTTTGACTGCTGTAAAGCTATTAAAAATTATTGATCGTATTTCTGTTTTTAGGGTGACTGTCGTTCCTACAGTTATGTTTGTGGAATCTCCAGTAAAGATGAGCCTGACTGGGAATCTCTTATTTTCCTGGCTAGGCTTATACCTCGTATGTGTCACAACATTAACAGGTGTGTTCTGCAGGAGGTGGGGTTGGGTGGGGGTGTGTGTGTGTGAGAGGTGTGATGGAAAAAGGATGTGTTTTTTAAGGTATTCCCATTAATGAAAGACCCAAAGGCTCAAGTCTAGGTATAGGTAGGTGATAGCAGATAAGAGTGAATGGCTCGGTTTAGAGTTCAGATATGCATGTAGATTGTAGTTAAGCAGATATTTAATATTATCTTATGTTTTGGTCCTTCATTACAATGTAATTATAAAAGTTGTTTAAAGGAGAAGTAGAGATTTTTATTTTAGTACAAAATATTAAAGACAGCTCTAAAACATATCTTCTAAATTAGCTGCCTGTGCTAGCTGTTGGTTTTATGGCAGCATGTTTTATTCCAGAAGAATAGAAAAAATATATATACAGGTTATAGAATTACAAATAGGGGTTGGTTAATTTAATAGTAATCCCAAGGAAAATTAAAGAAAAGAAATAGTCACATGTCAGATATCGTTAAAATAGCTGCATTTAAATGTACTATTTATATCTTTCAGCTCTGGTTTCTTTAATTTGCACATTAATCTTTTTGGATATATCAACAGCCGATTTATGATTTATTCCTAATACTTGGTTGCATTGTTTCATATATATATATATATATATACACACAGTTCAAAAATCCCACTTAATTAGTACCAGATTGCTAATTAAATGTTCTTATTTCACTCCCTTTAATTTTCTTCCTGTATGTTAACTGGTTAACAACCAAAAAGAATTACTTGAGGTTTCATTTTACTCAAATTTGCTGCAGAAATTAGAAACCTACCTGTTAGTGTTAACTTAGCAGAGTGTGTATAATTAAGAGTTAAGGAGTCACAGAGAAGCCACATTTTTCTGATGGGAACATGTCCATTAAAAGGCTTACCAGATGAACCAAAGGTCAGTAAATACAGAATCACCTTTCATATAGTGGAAAAAAAAGAATTATTAATAGCTTAAATAATGGTAAATTTGTAATTGCCTGTTTTGAATGGAGATAATTGTTTTCATTAAAGCAGTGTTTCATAATTCATCTTCTGAAGAATGCTAACATCTATATAAAATTTATATATCATACATAAAATTTCCTTTCCCTAAGTTTAACTCCACTGCTTTTACTATATAATTAGTATGTTTTTCATTTCACAGCATTCTTATAATTCTCTCTCTCTGTCTTTTTTGCCAAAGGGCACTTACTCAATGTTTAAACATTATATCCATCCTTTTAAATGCTGTCCTCTCCCCCTGACCCCCACCTTGTCTCTTCTTTTTCACTCAACCCTTTCTCCCTCCTCAAAAAAGAAAAAAAAAAAAGCCTAACAACAAGCAAACAAAAAACCTAGATTTTAGAATATGAACCTAAATATGAGCCTTTAAAAGACCCTTGGCAGATTTTAGATTTCTTTGCCATGGTCCTTTTTGAGAATTAAAATAAAAAAATTAAAAAAAATTTTTTTTTGCCAGTTTTCCTAATTTGGATGAGGGAATCTTTGTACAGTGCAGGACTGTTACAGTTTTATTGTTCTGTACACAATGTGGATGATTACCTGTCCTTGTACACTGTGATCACTCTCGTTTGTAAGAAATAAGAAGGCAAAAAGAGCAGGTTTGTGGCATCGCTTTCTTCTTTATTATTTATGAGCTCTAGGAGCTGTATTGTTTAGAAGTGTGATTTACTTTCTTTGCATGAGACAAAAACCTGCTAAAGTATACTTAGAGAAGGAGACAGTGAAGTAGTTTGTGATGGTGATTTTGATCTCAGGACTATTTTCTTTTGTGTATTTTACTCCAAGTATGTATTAAGAAAAAAAAAGTTATAAAAACTTTACCATGGTAGTCGCCATGGGGAGATTTTTTTTCTTTGCTAAAGACAGATAGGGCTAAGGAAAAGGGACAGTTGTCTATTGGCTGGCGTTGAAGTCTGTCTACCCTGACTGCCTCTTGTTTTCTGGGTGAAGATTGTGAAATAAATCCCTCCGAATTAGTGGCAAGGTAGACCTTGAGTTGTTATAATTGTCTGATCCTAATTTCCTCAAGTTATGTTCCAAACCCCACTTTTATTAACACTTGCAGTGTATCTTCTTGTCTTTCAAAAAGACATTTACTTAAAGCAGTAGTGAGTTATTCCTTTTGGAAGCAAGTAGTAAGTAATACTAAGTCCTGTTTCAGTGGCATTTTTAATACAGTGGAAATGAGAATCTCTCTTTAGGATCACTGTTTCTCAAAGTGGAAAAGAAAAAAAGATTGAGTGGTCAACTAAGTTTGGGAAGTTCATTGTAGCAGTGCATGTTAGATTTGCAGTGCATGTTAGTGTCTCAAAGTGGAAAAGAAAAAAAGATTGAGTGGTCAACTAAGTTTGGGAAGTTCATTGTAGCCTCATCTTGGAGATTTGCAGTGCATGTTAGTATACTACAGTTTCTGAAGTCTTGTCATAAACCTGTTTAAACTATGTGTACTAGTTTCCTGGAGCTACTCATAACAAATCACCATAATCTGGGAGGCTTAAAACAACAGGAATTTATTGTCTCACAGTCGTAGAGGCCAGAAGTCTGAAATCAAGGTGTTGGCAGGGCCATGCTCTCTCTTAAGCTTTGGGGAGGGTCCTTCCTTGCCTCATATTAGTATCTAGTCTTTGCTAGCAATCCTTGGTTTGTGGCAGCTTAATTTCAGTCTCTGCCTCTGTCTTCACATGGCTCTCTTCTGTGTTTATCTGTGCTTCCAGATTTCTCTCTCCTTGGAAGGACACCAGTCATTGAATTAGGCTCCACCCTAATCCAGCATAACTTCATCTTAACTTGATTACATTTGCAAAGACCCTATTTCTACCCGCAGATTCTGGGTGGACATGAATTTTGGGGGACATTCTTCAAACCAGTACATTACTTGAAAAGAGTGTTGTGTTAATCATATATCTTTAAACATTCTGAGATGATATTCCAGAGAACCCACCTTGAGGAAAGTACATAGAACATAGATCCTCCTATAATTTTATATTCTGTCCTACGTATTTGGGAAGTTGAAGTGGGTAAGAGAGGATCCTAAAAATAAATGGAAAGAATGTTACCATTCTATTTGCATTACTTCTCATGCTAAAATGTAATTTCTCTTTTACCTTTTTCCTTCTAGAGTTGTCTATATATTTGGTCCACCAGTAAAAGAACCTCCTACAGATGTTACTCCCACTTTCCTGACAACAGGCGTGCTCAGTACTTTACGCCAAGCTGATTTTGAGGCCCATAACATTCTCAGGGAGTCTGGTAGGTTGCTCATTTTATCTATCATTGCATGCTGCAACTAGTTTTTGGAAGGTTAACATTATGATTTCTAGCAGGAGGTGTAGCTTTTGATATTTAGACGCTTTTATTTTTATTACTTAATTCTATGGATGATTCCGTGATGTTGCCTTCTAAATAAAATTTATTCACCTTTGTGACCATTGACAAACATGTGCAGAGCTGCAAGAAATTGGAGTTGTCCTACTGACATGTTTCTAGATGAGGTTGAACAAGTTTAGCACTCTGCCTTCTTGTTTCATCTCTCCTACTGTAAATAAATGTCCTTTTCAAGATCTACTTGGTGACATACTTTTTACATTTTCATGCTTTTTGTTGGTGATTTGGCTGTTTAAAATGGCCCTCAAGCGTAGTGCTGAAGTGTTGTTTGGGTTCCTAAGCACAAAAAGACTGTAGTGTATCTTATGGAAAAAACCTGTGTTAGATAAGCTTCCTTCTAGATAGGCATTGTTAATCGTGAGTTCATGTTAATGAATCTACAATAAATATTAAATAAGGGGTCTTTAAACAGAAACTCACATAAAACAAGGTTATATATTGATCAGTTGATGAAAATGTTGTGACCAAAGGCTTGCAGGAACGTAACCCTGTATTTCCCCTAGGAGAAATAGTTCAGTATTGCTAATTCAGCATTTGTGGTATAGAATAGAACTACTGCGAATAATAAGAATCAACTCTCCCTCTATATAGGTTAAGTATACTGTTTTCGAAATGCTTGGGACTGAAGTGTTTTGGATTTTGAATTTTGTTGGTTATGGAATATTTGTAGTGTACATACTAGTGGAGCATCCCTAATCTGAAAATTCAAAATCCAAAATGCTCCAGTGAGTTTTTCCTTTGAGCATCATGTCGGCACTCAAAAAGTTTTGGATTTTGGGGCATTTTGGATTTTTGGATTAGGGATGCTCAAGCTGTATATATCACATCACTGTAACATCACTGCAATGCTCAATTTCTATTTGTTGTTGAATCCACTTACAATGCTGTGGGAATAGCTGAAATCAGTGCATGATGACAGTCTTAACTTTGTGTGTGTATGTGATTTTATATATTGTTTGGGAAGATTTAATTGAACTGGGTTAGAGTGCTCTTCCATGGTGTAGTGATTGGTTCTACATATTCCTTTCTCTAGGATATGCTGGCAAAATCAGCCAGATGCCAGTGATTTTGACACCATTACATTTTGATCGGGACCCACTTCAGAAGCAGCCTTCATGCCAGAGATCTGTGGTTATTCGAACCTTTATTACTAGTGATTTCATGACGGGTATACCTGCAACACCTGGCAATGAGGTCCCTGTAGAGGTAATTTATTTATTTTTTACTAATGTACATTTTCAGTACCTCACACATTTTATAGTATGTTGGAGTAGGCTGTGACATTGTTGATCTTTCTGGGGTTTGTTTTCTGTTCATAAGATGTGCTCTTATTTATTTTCTTTTACTTCCACATATTTGACATTTTATACACTGTAGCAGAAAAAGGCCTTAAATTGAATAAACCTTCCAGGTGTTTGTTTACTATAGAAAGTTACCAGCTGTAATCTTTAATTATATCTAATCCTCCCAACCTCAATTTTATAAATAGTATTACCCAAATAAAGAAGAAAACCCTAGGAGTAAAGAGTTTGTTAGAAATAAAGGTGAAATTTGATGGCATTATGACCAGCCACTGTGGATTGCCTAATGTTCTGCTACTACCAGTCCCATTTCCATTTTTGATCACCTTTTCCCCATCCTTCTATCCCTCCAAAGTGTTACAGAGGACTTGTTTACATAATAGCAAGTGAAAGTCAGAGTGAGACTTTATTAGTTGGGCCACTGCTCCAGTACACTAATGTGAGGCTCTGGTTATAGCTAGATAGCTAGAAAATGTGGCTTAGAGTCTGTTTTCCCTTATGCTCAAATTTGCCAAATGTCTGGCTAGTTAAGTGGCCAAGCCATTCTCTTCTCCTATATACTTGACAGTGATTATTATTATAGTGTACTATGTGCTTCCTTGTTGCCCTCAGAGTTGTATGTTTAAGCCACAGATAATTTGCAAAGCATGGGCTTAAACACATAAAATCATATGCTTGCATGCCACAGCAATGTCAAATTGCTGTAAGTGTTTTTAAGTACTTGTTGTGGACCAGTAACAAATAAAACTTGCAGACTAGCACCTGTTTGTGGCCCACACTTTGAGTAGTGCTGAGTTTAAGTTACTAATATCTGTTTTAGAAGGAAAGAGTTTCACTGTATATGATTAATCAGAGACCATCCAATGTACATGGAGGACAACGGTGAAAGTAGGTCACTTTTTAATTTTAAATTGCAAAATGTAAGCTGTCTAAGACTGTTGGACATGCAGTGGATTCTGGCTCTTCTGTTTATATTCTTTGTTTTTATAACAGGTGGTGTTAAAGATGGTCACTGAGATTAAGAAGATTCCTGGCATTTCTCGAATTATGTATGACTTAACATCAAAGCCCCCAGGAACTACTGAGTGGGAGTAATAAACTTCTTATTCTGTTAAAGTACTGTGTGCAGTTTAAATTGATTAGAAATCATTCCCAATATTGACATGCAGTACTGTGAAGAGTTACTGAAGCAGCTACATCACACCTGAGTTCTCCACAACAAAAATCTATAGCTTTAAGAGCTGAACTGGGATAACTAAAAGGCACTGCAGAGTTGTACGGGTCAATAATCAAAGCACCATTGTCTACACTTAGATTGATACTGCTTTGGCCTTTGCCTCACTTGTTCTTTATGTATAAACTCACTATTGCTATCAATGTCTCTGTCTATGAAGGTGTATGAAGGTTGGTGAATTTGGGGGTAGTAAATGGGCTTCTATCTCCTTTCTAAGAGCTGTTAGAAATGCTCATTATTTACCAGTGTGACTTACTATGTATACCTTTTGGAGATTCTGAGTTTTCTTATAAGTAACCTTATTTCTGCAAAGGGTGAGGGAGAAAATATAGCTGGGCTATTCTGGCCACTTTTGCAGGACACTGGGGCTATAAAGGTAAGATACCTTAAGATGGAAAAGCACTTAGAATTTGTATTTTTAGAATTTTATGATATCGCAGCCATGGGAAGAAGAAACTATGATTGATCTCAAATGTCTATGAATGTTCTTAAAATGTTTTCAGACCAGGTTCCACATAGGTACCATGTCACTCACTGTCAGCTTGTTCATTAGTAAGGAGCTTTGTCCTCCCAGCCTTATATTACCAGCTCCCACAGCCTTCCATAGAGAGTTGCTGTTCTCTTCCCAGAAGAGGCTGTCTCAGTGATGTATGTGGTGTAGTGCAGATAGAGTTCAAGAGGAGACTTTTAATCTCGTGTGGCTGTCAGAGGAGCAGCTCTGAGATCACAAAGCTATGATGCATGCCCACAACTTATAAAAGGGAGAGGAAAAGTGCTTCTGTCGTTTAGTAAAGAGTTGTAAAATGAACTCTTAGATTTAATCTATAGACAGATTTAGTACTCACTGCTCAGAAGTCTGTGACCAGTCTTGATCCATGCAAGGTATTTGCCAAACTTTTTAATGCTTTCTAACAGTTATGAGAGAGGATCTAAGAATTAGTGCAGGACTTTTTGCTAATGCCACCAGTTTCTAACAAATCCTTTATAACATTCGTATAAGCACTATAAAAATAGACAGTAGTAGACCAGTTCTGCAGCCAATTTATTATTTCTCTCAGTATTTTAGCTAAGAATATTACTGTGTGTTTCTCTTACCAATTCCATCTCAGGTTGCTGCCTCTTACCTAGTATAAAAAGTCTTTTAATCAGGTACAAAATTTTATTTGGGATTCAGTGTTAGATAAACAACAAAATGATGCATGTCAGAAGTCATCTTTTCATTCTGGCTGGTCCAGAGAACAAGAAAATTGCTGCTGGACCGGCAAAGGAAGAGCTTCTGTCTATTGTTAACAGACATCTGTACCCGAGACAAAGGAGTACTTGACTTCAGTAAAACTTGAAGGGTTTATTCTCTACCCTGATGAGAAGGTACTCATAGTGACCTTCAGTAAAAGAGGATATGTTAGTGATTTGGTCTTAGCAGATTTAGGGTCATGTTATTTTAGAGCTAGAATAGCCTATAAGATGCTTACTAACATGTGTCAATACATAATTACGTGATGTGAAAAAATTCCTTTTCTAACAAAAGTGTTTTATGATTTTGTATTCAAGCAGATAGTATGAATATAGGAGAAACATAGCGAGAATCTTTTTCCCTTAAGTATGTCCTATGGAACATCATTTCTCTGAGATATAGTCCATGTTAAAAAAAAGGTTAGGTGGTCATATAAGTTTGGGAAGTACTGCTCACTTGTCCTCCTGCCTTGGAGATTCATGGCACACATTATATTTAAAGCTCTGAGAAATTTTAAAGTTAAAAGCAATTGTTGAATTTTGCTTAACCTAGTGTTTTCTTGATATTTGTCCATTAAACACCTTTTTATGTCATCCTTCTTAATACTGGAAAAATGATTTCTCCAGAACACACCTTGACATGATATAGTTTTTTTTTAAAAAAACTAAATTTTCTGGAATTCAGCAATTTCCCAATATCTAGTCCCCTGTTGTTTTTGCACAGCAGTTTTTGCTTCGTGACTCTATACTTTGACAGTATTTGACGTGAGCCACAGAGAAAAGTTATTAAGGTTGTAGTTCCGTTTCATAGTTAAGGAAACAAGCTTAGCTTAGGATGGTTGCCTAATGAGTTTCAGAATTAAATGTCAAGTTTTATTAGTCTGAATTGTCCTTTCATTAAACGTATTCTGGCATTTAAAATTACATAAATTTATGGGATGGTCATTTCTGACCAAGACTAGAATGGTGGCTACCTGGCTAATATTTATCATTGGTTATCCTGGGCAGAGTATGACTTCATTCCCATTGCTTATCACCTACCTGGGCCACCTCTCTATTTAATTAAGTATATTTTGTTTCTTTATAGTTATTGGATAGGAGGAAGGCAGATCAGTGAAAGCATCATTTATTCCCAGGTTTAGGAGGCACAAAGGAATTTTCAAGAACCAAATGTCTAGTTCTGCCGTAATGGCCCCATCTGTATGATCATCAGTGCTGTTAGAAATAATATAGCCTGGCACAATTTCTGAGTACAGGTCTTTAAAGATGTATCCAGGAGATAAGGTTACACTATTTTCTGATCTTTTTTTGCCTCTTAATCTTGAGATAGCCACATGTGTGTAGCCGAACAAGCATAAAAGTTTGTTACCTTGCTCTGTTTGGGCTTGCCTCTTGACAGCCTGTTTTACTGAATAACTTGACTGTAACTTCTAGAGAATGAGGGCATTCCAATTAGATAAACAGGACTGTCCATCTTTAGTGCTTTGCAATGCCATTAAACAGCTGTATGAACTTGGTGAAGTCATTTCTGTTTATCTGTAAGATGAGGCAACTGGATTAAATTTTCAACAAATTCAGCCTTAAGTTCTTTCATGAATAATAAGGAAAAGCGTAGCAGGAGACAGAATGGAGAAACTGAGTAGTTTTTTTAAAAGTTCCTTTAACATCAGATATGACCCAGTCAAAGGTAAACATCAAAATGCATTTAAAGTTAAATATTACTTTTTTTGAAGCTTTGATATAGATCAGTGAGGTTTGACCACTTGAGAATCTTCTGCTATGAGATGACACTTGAAAAATACCCATCAAAGTGTTACTGGTGGCATTCTCTTTACTGTGTGTTTTTGGAAAAACTGACAGAGTATGCTCGGCTCTGAGACTGAGGAAAAGTATTTCATCATCAGTTATATATAGCTAATTGCTGGCAGAGCTGGAGCTAGAATCCAGGCTTTCTGATTCTCTGCATTGAAGAGTTAATGCTCTAAGGTCCTTCAAGGCAAGATTTAAAAGGAAGTTCCTCATGTGTAATCGGCCATCAGAACTAAATGTAATTCCAAAGTGTTAATCATCTCCTGAGTTACAGTAAGTGATTTCTGGAGATAGCACTATCTTTCAGAAATTCTGACATCTCATGCACAGTGTTATAACCCTGCTTCTTTTTACCTTTCTGTGTAACTCCTTTCCACTACTCCCCATACTCCTCCTCTCCCCAGAATTTTCATTGGAATGTGACAAAGACACAACTTAGCTGTTACCTCAGTGATTGGTCCTTTCATTGGCCCAAATCCAGAATGTAATGGGAAACAATACGGGTTGGATGTCTCCTTGGAAAGCACCCCTTTTGTCCTTATGGAGGTAGTTTTTAACTACACCAGGTGATAGAGGGAACCAGGTACCTTTTTCATTACTGTAGGGCTTTCATGGCTCTTATATTTCTGAACATTTCATGTAATGACAAGTGAGATTTGGAATCTCTCAAGTGTCAGGATGCCAACTCCCAACCATAGTCTTATATACTGAAGATGCCCACGTATTCCACTGTTAGCCTTTTTGTCAGTGGATCTAAACCCTGGATGTTTGTTAGTACCTGAGAAGTTTAAGACACATGCACACACACACAATGCTCAGACCTCCAACTAATAAAGTTAGAATCTGGGTGTGTAACACAAGAATTTTAAATCTACCAGCCAGAATAAATTGTTATTGAGGGACAGACCTGATCTATCTAGTTACAGTTTAAAATCTTAGTCACACCTATAGGTGAGGAATGTGGGCCACAGAAACTGTCTTGCTAAAGGTTTCATAGCCAGATTAGGTCAGATCTGGGGATCAAATTCTGGAACTGATTTTACCTATACTTTGTTGTAGGTTGGATGCTCCAAGGGCCTGTTTGGTAATATTTAGGACAGCTGTTGTAATCATTGCAGGTGTTGACGTCTATGCAACAACTGCGCTGGCCTTTTCTCTCTTCCAACCTCTTCCTATTCCTTTTGCTCTTTCTTTAAAGAGGATAAATCTGCTCCTGTGCTGCAGCCACCTTTACAATTCTGACTATAGCTAGATCAGTAAGACTGAGCTGTTACTGCACCAACTCAGAAATCCTTCTGGGGGCTGTGTCATTTGAATATCATTCTTTAAAGAACTAGAGATTATCTACCTGCAACCTGAATTTCCTGAATTAGAGTCATTTGAGCAGCACCTCTTAATTTACCCATCAGAGTCTTTGTTCACTGGTGACCCTGTGGTATCTTTCGACTTAAGTTCCCTTGCTTAGCAAAATCATGAGACCTTAGGGAGTGAGTCCATTTCTCGGATATATTAAATGCAATAGCTCCCAAATCCTCGAGTGTTTAGGAAGCCTGAACCTTGAATAATCCAAGTAAGAGAATATACCTTTGGAGGATACAGATTTTTAAGCTAAGTAAGTTTCTGCCTTTGCATCTGCTGTGGTCATTGTTACAACCCTCGCATTAAATGAAGAAGTAAATGTAAACCTCCTTTTGAACATACTTTTTATAAAGAAATATTTTGTTTATTTGAGTAAGTAGTACAGTGTGAAGTCACTATGTAATTGTTCATGGTATACTGCAATGTCTATTTTATGTTGTGGTAACAATGTTGGCATAAAATAGCTTTGCTAAATTAACGCGAAATGACTTTAATCCCTTTTGTCTTCAGTATACTTCATAAAGGAGGAAACAGCTTTCATAATTTGTCATGAAGCTTCAGTGTTTATGAGAAGTCTGAGAAGCAGGAGCAAAGAGAACAGACATTATCATGATATGGAAAATGAGAAGTTGCATCAGGGGTTTCTGGGTAATAATCTGTTCCCCTTATGTATATATATAGGAGGATGTCAGCATTTTTCCCAGTGTTAACAGCGGACATAATGGACATAAACATTGGGTAGCTTTTTAGTTAAATGATCAGCTAAAGGTGTGTGCGTTCACGTGTGCTTCTAAAATTAAAGTCATATGTGTATGTACACACAAATTTGTGTGATTTCTTGCATATTCATTTGATCAAATCTTTTCTCAATTTCTCAAAACATAAATTACTTTTATTAATTTGATACATAACCTGAGTCCTTTTAGTTGTTTGGAACTATGTTCTCAGACTTGATCAAACCATCAAAGTGTTTGTATTAGTGAGTCACCAATATGAAGATAAGAGAAAATAGCTATGTTCAGAAACTGAATTCACTGGTTATTTCTAGCAGCCACATTGCTTGGGTTTGTTTCCTTTCAGATCAATAACCTGCTCTGGTGTTCTCCTATCTGAAAAGACTATTTGATTCAAGTATATTCTGAAAAGTTTTTACTGTTTTAATATAGCTTAAGACAAAAATATTACTGAGTTTATATCTTGAACTCCTGCAAATCAAACTGTCATTCTACCTTTAAAAAAAATACTTTTATCAAGAGCTGTTTAACACCACAGCTAAGTTTTGTTTGTTTGTAGATTATTATTGAGTTATTCTAATGAGTGTATATAGATTAGGTCCTAAGAAGCAGTTAAGAATCCCAATCTAACCTCACTGTGATCAATTAGTGTGTCAAATTCTAATTATTAAATGCTTTTTTTCTATTTCAGAGTGCTATTCCACATGCATATACTACCATTCTTTTAGACAATGTGTAACCTGCCAAAACATTTTTTTTTTTAAATTAACATGGTTAGAGAAAACTTTACTTCCCACTTAATGTGGCTACATAAAATGGTGGAAAACATGACAGCCGTTTGTCAAGATGCCTTTATCTGATTGCATTAGGATGACTGATACTTAAGAAAAGTTTCAATGGACTAAAAAAATATTTAGCAAAGTGCAAGAAAATTCATCCCTTTTTGCGGGGGAGGGGTGCGGAACGGGGAAGAAACTTTGATTGTGAGTGGTGAGGATGTAATGAATTGAACTATTTATAGTGCTTATTTTATTAGGAGGGATACCAAGAATTATGTATATCATGACTATTGTGTGTTCAACAATCTTCTTAAAAATTATTGTGAAAAATTACGCAAAAGTAGAATAGAGGAATTAGCAATCCATCATATTCCCGTTATTTAGCTTCAAGAATTAGAATAATACTTTTCTTTAATGACTGAGTGAACCATATAGCACGCAATTGAGATTTTCAAAAAGTTGGTAGTAAGTACCCAGACATTCTAAAGTAAATGAGATGGCTTGGAGTATTTTTTTCATATTAATTCAAAGGTTATTCTGATGTCCTTGCCTACTTTCTGTCAGTTTTTTGCTTAAAGAGGAACTGTTAATGATTCACCATTGAATAGGAAACATTTTGAATGATCTCTTTTACTTTTTTTCCTTTTCTGGTCAGCCTTGTAAAGTGCCTGATGTGAATTTAGTATGGAGGTTTCCAAACTTTTTTTCATGGTTTCCTTAGTATTTTTATAGTGCCCCTAAGCCAAAATATGTAATAGTACCATTTATTAAGTAACAGTTATGTTCAAATAACTTAAAAAAGTATTTATGTCCTAACAACATAGTATCTGTTTGAAAAAAGATTATTTATACATTGAGATTAAAGAAAAAGCATTCTTTTTGTTCTTAAGTAGAGTTAATTACTGATGTGCTATGTGTACCTGTTGGGTACTGTACAGCTCATCAAACCACTGCCATCATTTCTTATTCCCTGATGATTTTTGCATAGTCCTTTTTTTTTTTTTTTTTTTTTTTTTTTATCGCAGCAGCCCTTGAAAACTCAGCTTTATAAAGGAATGACCTTTTGAAAGGAATGTGGCATGATCCTGTGTTGAAACTGACCTACCACAAGCTAGTAGTTCACCTTGTGTCTGTGTGTTTATTACATTGGCTTGAAGTGCCTTGGCACGCAGTTTGAGAACTATAGTGTCTTTAGTATTGTGATTTTTTTTCCTTTTTTTCTTTCCTTAACTTTGAAGAATATAAAAATATACTTGTGTCCTTAATGTTGAAAGAGTTGTCTTTTCTGGTTTTGAATTTAAGAGTTGGAAGTTTTTTAAAATTTATTTTTTATTGGAACATAGTTGATTACACATATCTGTGTGGTAAGGAGTTGGAATATTTTGCAAAAATTATTAGATATTTAAGAATCTCATTGCATCTTCCCAGAAATGGAGAAACAGATATCCCATATATTTTATGAAGTATACATGTACAGAATGTGCCTAGATCCAAGTTTGATGCATACTTACATTCACTTTGGAGCTAACTTTGTAAGGTAAGTGCTGTTACTATGGAGATTTAAAACTGTTCCTTACTTTTTAGACCTATACTATAGAAGTAAATAATTTACTGGATTTAGAAAATACCAAATGTGGTATCTATAGATTTGTTACTACATTGATTGCTTTGTAAAACAAGGGGAACTAGTCACATTCCACACATTAAAAAAAAAATTTTTTTTCTGGTTAATTGACAGTGATGGCCATCTTTTGAATGTGTTTTTAGAGTTTAGGGATGTCATTCAATAAGGCAGAGAGAGGAAATCAGCACTGCTCACATTAGTTTGTAACTAAGTTGAACTTAAAAAGCTTACTCAAGAAGCATAGCTATCTCTATACATTCACCTTTGTATAATTTCTTTATGCTGAATCTCAGAAGAGGACCATTGTAGGAAAGGTAAACATTTTTTCTCTGAGAAACAGAAATAAGAGTCTACTGTTAAATCTTTAAAGTATTAATGACACAGTAGAATTCTGGGTTGAGTGGTTAGATGTAATTTTGGGAACCTATTTTGTAAATACTTGTTCCGAATTCTGTTGATGAAATATCAGCCTGAAATCCAATAAACTTGACTAATTTCCCACTCTAACTCCATGTAACTGTGTAACCTTGGGCAAGGCACCAGTCCCCTCAGCACCAGGTAAGTCACATGTAATGTAGGAATAATATTTCTGGTGTGGGTTAAGTGAAAGAATGTATGAGCAATTGTTTTATCTGTATGTTATGTATAAAAATATATTTCTGAGAATATACTTTATGTGTTAGCATGGTCTTTTAAAACAGGTGGCGGTGTAGATGAAATGAGTGATGTAGGATTAATAATCCCATTGTGCTCAATTAGCTGGGACAAGTCAGCTAAATTTACACTGTTCCAGATACCTGGATTTTGAGGGTGGGGTGGGGTAACTTTTGTTACCAGATGGCAGTTCCAGGTTCTTTGTCAAACCATGAAGGAGAACCTTTCACAGGTACGAGGGAAGTCCACAACACAGTGAGCACCCGCTCAGCAAAAGTAAAGGAAGAGGAACAGACAGAACATTCAAACAGTAGAACTTTATTGTAAAGTAAAAGTACGTGCAGAAGGGTGTGTGGGTGTCTCCGTGAGGAAGGAACACCCCTGGATTCTTAGGGGGATGATTTGTATGCTGTTCTGGGATAAGGTGTTCCTTTATATACTAAGAGGAGGAATATTTGGCCACAGGGGAGGATCTAGGGTAATTAAGGCCTAACAGGTTGATGCGATGTTGCATCAGCTTCCTGTCACGTATCCCCGAGTTTCTGAAGTTTTTGGTCATGCTCAGTGGGGTCATCTTTGCCTTAACTTTGTCCTTTCTGGTCTAGCGTCATGGTGGAAGGTCATAGCATTGTCTGCACTTTTGTTCCTCCTAGTGTGCAGATGCTGTGGTTTTTGTAACCTGCAAAGTTCCAGGTGTAACATTCTGATAGGTAGGGTGGTTAAGCTGTTGTCAGCTCATTATGGGTTCATTAAATGCAAAACAAGAAAGTGGCTGGTGCCGATCCAGTCTCTATTTATGAGCAGCTTCCCTGGGGCGTGTCCCTTTTCTGTCCTGCCTCACTTTGAACTATATGAGGGCTGTGAATACATCTTTATGAAATTTATGCCACACAATATTAACTCTAACAGAACAGAGCTCACTCCTGTCTCCTCTGAACCCTCGGGCGGGAGCGCCGCCGCGCTTCCCAAGCGGCGCACTTATCCAGTGCACCACCGGGCCGGCCCATGTCTCCTAATTTCTAATCTTGCACTTGAAAATTGCAAAAATTGGATGTCCCATTTCCTTTCTGTTCAGATTCTAGTAGTGTCTACAAAAGTGAAACGTTTGTTTTCTCTATCAATGTCATAGTTGGGGAAAGAGAAGTTTGGGACAGTAATAGATAAAATAAGTTAGTGTTCTAGTAATTGCAGAATAAAATATTCAGACAATAATTTCTGTAAAATCTTGAGAGGTTGGGGAGAACTCCTTAGGCAACACCACATGATATTCAAGTGCTTTATTTTGCTCTTGGGATTGGAGCTGAATCTTGGAAGTCAGTTACAAAGAGGTAGAAGGTATGGAATATTCCAGGTAGGTGGAGGCCAGAAGGAGCCAAAAGTGAATAAACTTTGACTAGCCTGGGTGGTTTGAGAAAATAGGACAAGAAAGTTGGTGCAAAATTGTGGAGGGCTGTGACTCAGCCAAGGGACTGCATTGTGTCCGGTTGGGGTGTATGTACTGGAGAAGCCAAAGGAACTAGAGAAGCTCTACTCTGTCAGCATAGCTACCTTGTAAGAAAGTGCCACCAGACCTTTTCCCTTGCTGTAAATAAGGTCACTGTGATAAACTATGGTGAGTCCAATCAGTCACACTAAACTTTTTGCATGCCATTTTTACGGAGACTGGTTCAAGGGACACGGTGTATGTTGGGAAGAAAGGTCTTTAGTATGGCTTTTAAAGGCCCTCCACGGCCTACCACTTGCCCACCAATCTAGCCTTACTGTGCCCTCTGCATCCATGTTGATAAACTTGTGAATTCATCATGCCCCTTTCTTTCACGTCTCACCTTTGCCCCCACATGCCCCCTGCCTGGAGTGCCAGCCCCATGGCCCTCATTCTCCACATCATCAGCTTTCAGGAGGAAATCCTCTCTATGAAAACCTCCAGTCCATCCTCATGCCTGTAGGATGGACTGTTCCTTTCCAAGCTCCCAGTGCACGCTGAGGAATTTCATGACTATTTTGTGTTTTTTTGTTAATAATTTTGTTTATATT